AAACTACAATAAAATGCCACATTGCATTTTAACAAAATTTTGGTAAGACATTGGGAAATGTTTGTCATATAGGACTGGTTGACACTCTATTTTATTTATGAAATTCATTTTAATTATTTCATTTACAATTTTCCAGTGGATATTTACTAGTCTAAATGTAGGAAGTGTGCCTCTTTCCATTTAATGCTTCAACTAAATAATCAGAGTATAGACATGTTAACATGTTGGAAAGACAGAGTAATATTGGGAAACCATTTGAGAATATTAAGATAAACTGTAGATAAAAGTTATTTGATTAAATACAATTATTGACATAATTCTTAAGAAAACAATGCATTATAAATTTCTATAATTGTATTTCTTCCTACAGCTGCAATATTCAGAATATTAATGGCCCTTTTCAAATTCACCAACATTGTTCTTCTTGTCATGGTGTGGTACCTGGAATTAGTATCTCTGTGATTTTGAGAATTACTTTTGCTGAATGTTTCCTGCTGCTTTCCTAAAAGAAACAGGAGTGTGAGATGATAAATTATTAATATTACATGTCATAAAGTAAAATATAATCTTGTGAACTTGAATCTCTAATCAAGAATAAATGAATGCATTTGAATAATTCAATGAACCTAAAATGATACAAATTGTATTCAAATAGAATATTTTGAATATTCTGTTAAAAAATTTAACAAAAGGAATCACTCTTCACATTAACCTGTACTTTTACAAGATGACAGTCAGGTTCTTACATGAAACATTTAACAGCATATCCTTTATGAATTAGAATGATATGAATACCTTAAAATTTTAAATTTGCATGAATTTCAGACTAAAAGTCACCTATCTTGACATATAAGGTTATTATACTGGAATGAAGTTCAAGAGGTCAGATTCCAAACATCTGTTTCACACATTCAGGCAAATTTCAATTATGGTTGCCATGATAACAATGTGATAGATTTCCATGTTAAGCAATGCTATTTTTTTTTTTTTGGTGGTGCTCAGTTACTACATGAAAATTTGTTAACTGAGAATACAACACAAAAAAAAGTGATGTCTTTTTTAACTTCCATTCTTATGAAAGTGGAATAAAGTTTATATGGTACTTCCATTGCACTGTTGGCATAAAGTATTACAGCTAAGTTGCTATTGCAATATCTATAACATATTTTGATCCAGGATTAGACTATGAAATAAATATTTTGAATGTATCCAACTGTATGTATATTATTATGACTGACTGATTCTGAAAATAAATTTTGTTGAAGACTAAATGAACAATGTAATTGTTAGGATTTTATGTTAAAGCAATATGTAGTCTTATTGCAGAGCTTAAACTATTTGAAGTGTAAAAATTAAAATGTTTTACAAATAATAATGTTAATTTGATATTATAAGGATAATGTACTTATATGCTGTAATGATTTGAATGTAATGCTCCTCAAAATTTTGAAGCATTTTTAATACTTGGTACACAGTTGGTTGGTGTTTGTAGAGGCTTAAGAAGTGTGTCCTCCCACGAGGGGTGCACCCACCCACTAAGACAATGGGGCTGATCTATTGGGAGCTCACCAAGGCCAGCTGGACTGTGACTGAAAAAGCATGGGATAAAACCGGACTCTCTGATCATGGCGAACAATGAGGGCTGATGAGAAGCCAAGGACANGGGGGAGGGGGAGGGAAAGGGGAGGCGGCAGTGGGGAAGAGACAGAAATCATAAATAAATAAATAAATAAATAAATAAATAAATAAATAAATAAAATGAAATTTTCATGAAAAGAAGTATTTCTTTGCTTTACAACTTCCGAAACCCCAAATGGTTCTTTTTCCTATCACGTCATCCGTAGCTCCATGCACCTCGCTTACTGGATTCTAACATATGAGGGGAAGGATATTGAGGCACTACATCCCGGATCTGAAATGTCACACATTCTGAAATCTTGGTCTTCAGCCTATGATGCTACTAGAGATGCTGGAACCCTTAACAGGTAGAGCTCAGCAAAAGGAAGTTAGGTCACTGAGGTGTACCCTTGAAAAAGATCCTGGAACCACCCTCTGGTTCTCTGTCTTACTGCAGACTACATGTCAACAGTCAATCAACCATGGGCCCAAATCTAGGAATGAAATCAGCCCCTCTTCCTTTTAAATCAGTTGACTAATGCATTGTGTCTCTGGAGCATCTCGTGCACTTAGAACTGTTTTATAAGACCGTGCTGAGACAGACACAGTATCATCAAGAAATACCAACATACAGAGTTTAGAGTTTTAGCCAGGGATAAGTGATGTACAGTAAGCTACAGTGAGCCAAAGCTCCAGTGAGGTCAGTTCTGCCATAAACACTGAGATGATCGTTATGATGAAAACAATGAACATGCCCGCCTCTCTCAAGTGTTTCTGTAGGTATGTGCATGCAAATTGATAGCATTCCTTCTAATATTTACAGTATTGATTAACCATATAATTTTTGGCATTTCATAAGGATTAGTAATAGTTTGGATAGTCTTTCCAACAATCCTATAAATTAAGAGCTATTATTGCTTCCACTCCTTTCGAGCCATGAGTGACATGAATAGAGGCCACCAGTCCGAAGATACACTCCACGTGTAGGTGGTAGAGCTTATTTAAATTCATCAGACAGGAGCCACGCCCTAAACCACTTAATGACTCACTTCTTAGGTTGTCCCACTGCATGGATGTCCCGAAGGTTGCTTAAAAATGATCCCAGTGCACACATACACAGTGGACTATATACAATTTTTATTGCTTAAAATAGAACTTTATACCTATATTATCATGTATGCATAATGATGTGTGTGAAAATGTCACATTTTGTATACTAACTAAAAATTTTTAATAAAATAAAATGGCAACTAGCAAGTTCATAGTATGTCCTTGAACACAGTCGTGGTTGGTTTCTTTAAGAACCATTATTTGGGCTGAAGAGAAGGCTCAGTTGATATAATCCTTACCACATAGCACAAAGCCCCAAGTTTATGTTCCCAGTGTTCACGTAAAAGCTTGGCATAGCAGTGTTTCCCTAAGTTCCCGGAACTGGGAAAGCGGGGAGGCAGGACTTTCTCTGTGGCTTGCTGGCTAGCTAGTCTAGTCAAATGGGCTAGTTCCACCTTCAGTGAGGGACCCTGCCTCAAAATGTAAAACGGAGAGCTCCTGAGGAAAACACCCAACACTGACCTTTGAAAACTATACAAAGGATTGAGCACTCGCTCGCACACACAAGCACACACACACATGCACGCACACAGAACCATTCTATGATATGTTATGTGTTATATGCTGACTCCTCATACAATGTTCTAAGTTGTTCTCCTGTTAAGGTATAGAAATTCACATTCTCAGTACCAACTCTTTAAATTATTATTCTTTTGATCCTCAATTATACAATGTAAAGATGAGTGCACTATTTTTATTTGAATAGTAATGTGGGTAAAAAAAAACTTTTGTTGTGTTTCTAGGACACGTTTCATGTTGTTTGTCCAGATTTCTAGTTCAAAATTGAAAGTTCCGGGGCTGGAGAGATGGCTCAGAGGTTAAGAGCATTGCCTGCTCTTCCAGAGGTCCTGAGTTCAATTCCCAGCAACCACATGGTGGCTCACAACCATCTGTAATGAGGTCTGGTGCCCTCTTCTGGCCTGCAGGCATATACACAGACAGAATATTGTATACATAATAAATAAATATTTTAAAAAACTTGAAAGTTCCTTTGAAATGGTGGAGTTACCACCACGACCCTGTGTGGTACTCACATGCCCACCACCACGACCCTGTGTGGTCCTCACACGCCCACCACCACGACCCTGTGTGGTACTCAGGTCCCCATATTTTCTACTGAGCATCAGGAAACTGCTGGAGTTCTGCAATCATCCCCTTCAAGCTCTCAGGTTCCAAACCTGCCCACCTGAGGTCCTTCAAGCCTGGAAACACTCTCCCTCTAAACAGAAACAGAATGGCTTTCCCGCCTCCTAACCTCTGCCTAGCGTCTCCTATTGGTTGAACTTACCCAGAAAGCCAAGATCACAAGAGAGTTTGGGAAACCGGCCTTCTTGTATCCATCAAAGAGGGAATAATACAGAGGCAAGAACTGATCTAAATATAATTAGACTAAATCTAGCAAAAGGAGAGGACCCAAGACAGTGCCCAGAGTCAGGATAAGACTCTCCTGGATGAAGAATATCTAGATTCTCGAAGTGATTCGGCTAGAGGCCTTCTCTGGATGTGGTAACATGATGGCAGAAGGCAGACCCAGGGTCCTCCCCTAGAAAGTGGGTCCAGATACCCACTCCAAAGGCTAACAATGGTTAAATGGGTCCCTGGAGGGAACGTATTCAGAACAGGATCCGAAACATAAAGCACCACATAGTTGACAGCTAAAGATTACAGTCAGTACGACTTCAGTTCCAACACCTGCAAAGAAACCTTAGGAAGGGCGCTTAAACCATCTTGCTTGTCTCTAGACAGGCAGAGCTGACCACACTCAACACCGCGCCTGATCAGTCACGTGTCCCTGTCATCAAATAGTTCACATAAGGATAAAAAGAACTATGGTTCAAGGCAAAATGTGTTCATAAAACAGTCCTGGGAGGGTAAAAACCTAGTGCAGTATTCAATGGGCCCAGTGTTGTCTTCCTGTGGCCTCGGAAATTCACTTAATCACCCATGCCTCAGTTTCCTCCTCCGAATAAAAAGACTGCCACATGAAGTCACCGAGTAGGTTAAGAGTGCTACTAAATGGAGAGGCCCGAGGCGTTCAAACGTGGTTCTTGTTGTTCCCAGATGCAGTGTGTAAGGAAAGTGTCAGAAATGTAACACGGCCAAAAGCTGAAGAATCAGTCATTTAACCAGAATCACTTAGGCTCTGGTGGTAGAGAACCAAAGGAGATGCCTACCACCGGTGGGGGCCACAAGGGGGCGCCCGGAGACGTTAGCGTCATCGTTGCCCCTGGCAACCGTGTTCCTCTGACTTCGCCGGCTCTAATCCCAGCAAGATGGCCCTGCGCTCCTGGACCCCGGACAAGGGGTTTATCAGCAAGAAAGTAAAGCAGCCGGCCTCCGTCGCCACCAGCCTCTCCCTGGAGATATGCAGCTTCCCCGCCACTCTGGGCTCGTCCGTAGCGGCCGCCGCGTTAGAGCAGCTCTTAGTTGTGGGTGAGAAGTTCTAGAGACACCAGGAGTCATGTCCTCCTAGGAGATGGTGGCCCGCTTGGCGCTTGACAGGAGCCTGGGCAGGCGTTCTTCTCCTGAAACCACAACAGTTGAGATACCAGGAGGGATTAAGTGTTCAGCGCACCTGCTCAAGCGCTGTAGGGTGAAGGATGAATTCTTCCTAGGACACCATTGGGTGTCCCCAGCCATCCACCTGGACCAGAGTATCTGATTTCCACTTCAGCCCGCTCCTCTCTCCTTTCTTTCCTGCGTTTTTCTCTCCACCCCACCCCCACCCTTTACCGTGGGAAACTGGAGACTTTAAAGACGCGTAGAAGAAGGAATGCTTAAGAAGGAAAATTAGATAAAAGACAGTGTTTGGGAGACTTGGATCAAAAATGATCTTGTGTGTGTGACAGGCTAACACACGTGGCACGCTTTGGCTCTGATCTGTCTATCACGGGATCATAATACGGACACTTGTTTCTTGGCTAGTGGGGCTGTTTGTAGGAGGCTGGGAACGCTTTAGAGGGCGGGGTTCAGCGGAGAGAAGTCTGTCACTGAGCAGGATGGGAGTGGCCTTCGTTTTTTGGTTTTGTTTTGTTTTGCTTCTTTGTTTTGTTTTTTGTTTTGTCGATACCAGGTTTCTCTGTGGCTTTGGAGCCTGTGCTGGAACTAGCACTTGTAGACCAGGCTGGCCCCGAATTCACAGAGATCTTCCTGCCTCTGCCTCCCAAGTGCTGGCATTAAAGGCATGCGCCGCCACCAACAACACCACCACCGGGCTTGGAGTGGACTTTGAAGGTCTTAACAAGCCCCGGGTTGCTGCTTGCCCTCTGCTTCCAAGGAACAGCTTTCCTACACACTGGCTGCAGTGATCTGCGGTGCCTTCCCCACCATAATGGACTGGAGTCCTCTAAACCCTGAGCAAAAATTAAAAACTCCTTCCCTAAGCTGTTTCCATTAGGCATTTTGACCACAGCCATTCAAAAGTAACTAATAAGATGCTTATTCAGTTAGAATTATCAATATGTTAGTCCCCAAAAGGCATTTCTAGTTGGGAGCAAAAGGCGTTAAGAGCAAACCATCTAATTGTTTGACTATGGCCATTGAACTGCTTCAGAACAAGCATTTCTGTGATGGCTTGCAGTTTAAGTGATTTCCCTTTCACCTTCTTAGAGGACTGAGTTTAATTTTCCACTTCTCCATGGAAAAGCAGAGGTATTTCCACACACACAAAAAAAAATAATAATCAATGATACCAATTGCCCCCGTGTAGCCAAAGGTCATTGTTAGAACTTGAACCTTGAGTTCTCCTTGTGCTAATCTCTAGATCAGAGTGTCCATTCAACCCTATTAATCATGCACAAATACTTTTCATCTGCTAATAATGTCTGGAGACTCGAGAAATTTTCTGTTTTTTCCTTGATAATTGTGTACACACTTACATAGAATCTCGAGCATAGCCGTCCCTCCTTCCTCTCGCCCACTCCTCCTACACCAAACTTCCTCTCTGCCTCTTTGCTACTTCTCCTCCTCCCACTGAGCTCAACTAGAGTTACACGTAGAAAATACTGACTGACCTTACTGACTCCACCTTGTGCAGGTCTTGTATAGGGGATCATAGCTGCAGTGAGCTTGGAGGTGCAGTGGCCATGTCAGGAAGACAGCCTGTCACGGCATCCCAGGATCTTTTTCTTAGGAAGAAACTTGATTAACACTTCTTATACCTGGGTGTGGGAATCCCAGCACCTGTGAGGGTGAAGACAACAAGATCGGAAGGTCGGGGTCGTCCCGGGCTACACAGCAAGCTGGAGACCAGTCTGAGCAACAACTAAAATTTTCTATAAATAAACTTTATCTAAAGTAACGTAAATATTTCTTGCTCTGAGTTTAGTTAGAAAGTGTATAAGTCTCCAGAATATTCTAAAGCAATAACAGGTATGTGGTCACTTACTCCATGAAGACCAAAGAAAGGACTGTAGTGCACTCTTGCCTCTTTAACACATCTGACTATATGGCGTGGAGTTCTGCAGGAGAGTCCAGCTTCCCTGGAACTGAGGGCAGATGCTACAGTTCACTCTACCGAGAGAGGAAAATGACTACTTGTGTTCTCTTCTTAGAGCTCCCTATTTGCCGAGGCTGTGGGAAAAGGAAAGCTCTTTGAGTATACCAGTGAACAAAGGGGGAATGGAAACACTGTCACACCTCCCCAGTGACAGATGTGGAATCTCATCTGCAGTTTGCAGTTTTGTACAGAAGTACGTGACATGAGGGTGTGTAATCACTAAAGTGATTTGGTGTGTACTTCTGACACAACATAATTTTGCTTTATATATATACACATATGTATGTGTGTGTGCGTGATATGAAACCCTTTAAACCTGTATTACAGAACCTGATCTTTTTCTCATTTGTAAATGCTTATTGATATCTCATCTATTTGAAATCTCTTCCTGTCATAAGATATATCTACAAAGATGAATTTAGTGGGCGATTTTCCTTAAAGATAATAAAACATATATCTAAGTTAGGATACTATGCAATAGGAAACATATTCAAAGGAAATTCATAATGTTCAATAGACATTCAAATAGCATAAGGTTCAGCATTTGAACCAGATCATAAAGACTGAATCAAGTAGGATTGGAACAAATCCCTTAAGATATCTTAATATCCTAATCTTTTGTTTTCCAGAAAAATCTCTGCAAGGTGACTATTTCACTTGCAATGAAGAAGTTAAAACCTTCCTTAAGAACATTATTGTTGCTGTCAAAAAACTGGTACTGTATTATCTTTAAGATATTTTTCAGACTTTCACTTATACCTTCATTAACCCTTAATTTATGTGTGACTCTACTCAAGGTGCATAAATATGTGAACAGAGATATATTTAAATATTAAATATTAATATTTAATTAGTATAAATTATTAAATATGGTTTGTATAGAAGTCAAGATTTTCACTGTGCCTAATTAAGGAATCTAGTCCCCTTCCACTTAATACCTGAGTCTTCACATCTTTCAAGTAGCAGACATAAATCCCTCTATTTTAAAAAATAACCAATATCTATGAATGTAATACATGTTCTTCCTAGAAAATTTACAAAATAAATCAGCAGAAGTAAAAATAAAAATAAAAGCCACCATCAACTCCACTACCTTTAAATATTCACAATTAATTCTCTTACTTTCAGAGTACAGGTGATACCCGCATTGAATTCTATTTTTTGCAGAAACAATACACTAGTAAGAAAATGTCCTTCAGCCTGATCTTATGAAGGCATTTTCTCAACTGAGGTTTCCTCCTTTCAGATAACTCTAGCTTGTACCAAGTTGACATAAAACTAGCTAACACACCACCACCCACCATACCCTTTCCCCTACAGCCGACGTGACACTGAGCTCTGGGAAATTATGATCAAAAGGAAGAATTTCTTCTTAGGTTCCAGTGTGCAGGCCGGCAGGCCCCTCTACTACACGTGCTAGAGTATGCAATTATACAATCTGACTTTCAGTTAGTAAATGTGACAGAAGTTTCTCGGGTTACAAAATAGCTATGTCTTTATCTACGTAAAAGATGATCTTTGAGTGTTTCTCCTCCTTTAAATACATTTGTACCTAAAGCAAGCAAATGAATCATCATTCTCAAGACTGTTTAGACTTATAGATATGAAAAAGTCTGGGGGCTGGAGAGACGCTCAGCAGTTAAGAGCACCCAGGGTTGGTTCCCAGCACCCACATTGTAGTACGTGACTCCAGTTCCAGGATCCAGGGCTCTTTTTTGACCTCCACTGGCACCAGATATATATACATGGTATACACGATACATGGTGTACACATGTACATGGATACATACATATATTTTAAAGGGGAAAAGCATTGCTCTCTTTATTCCCACATGAGTATTTATAGGGAAATTTGATTTTTAGTGAGTGGCCTTAGTTTTTCCCTTCTTGCTGGACTCTTTCCATTTAAATGAATTGGAGCTGGATTTAAGAAACAGGTGCCCAGAAGGAAAGCGTTCTGAGTAAAAGAAAACCAGCAAAAACTAAAAGATAACTCGACAGTGGCGGATTAAAATCTGCTTGTAAGTCGTCATCTGCCACATAAAACCAGCAGCGGGAGAGGTCTGGTGGAAATGGCCTTTCAACCCCGCAAACAGACAGACCCTTTCTTAGGAAATAGACATTATTTTGATGCATTATTTTTTTAACAATGCAGTTTTTTTTTTCAGGAAGAAATGAGAAAAGAGACAGTCGAGCTTCTGGAAATTGAAAGTATAGAGCTGAGCAGACTCTATTTTCTGCTGGAGACTGTGCCCAACAGCATCAACAGGGAGCTGGAAGGTACTTCTGGCCGTCAGTGTCAATCACAGGCAAAGAGAACCCCAAGGGCTTTGGAAAAAAAGGTTTAATAGTTGTGCTTATATAAGCACCCATAGGAAGATTACCTGGTGTGAATATTGTAATCGGCAGCAAGTCCCCATTTTATTTTTAAGTGGCACAATATACTCTATAGAAATTTAATTTACATAATTTTGCTGCTAAATTGACTAAGAGATGGCTCAGTCCATTTCTGATAGATAGCTACCCACATAAGTTAGGCACCGTGGGTGTCCTCATTTTGTTTCTATGGAGCTGGTGACTCTAAGTACTTGACGTGAGTAGTCTTGTTGTGATCGGCTTACTTCACTTAATGGATGGGAGCACGTGTTGGGATATCCTTCCTTTTTAGGTTGAACCACATTCCCTGGTATGTACCCACCAGGCTTTGCTTATGTTTTGTGAGCTTCCTTTGACTTTTGGCTGTTGTGAATAATGATGTTTATGACCTGTGTCCGACTGCACAGGTGAGCTCTGCTTTTAACTCTCTTGGCTCTGTATCAAGAAATGGAATCAGGGGATTGCATGGTAACTCCACATGCAGCTGTTACAAGCCAGCCATCGTGTGTAGCCACCAGCAATGCACAGGGCTTCATTTCCTCCCCATCCTTGCCAACACTTGCTCTTTTATGCTTTTGTTTGTTTTAGTGAGACCTATTCTATCCCGCATTAATTAGACTCTCATTGTGGTTTTAATTTGAATTTTTCCCAACGATTCGTGACTTTGAATGTCTTTTCCTGTGCTTGTTGTTTGCCCAGGCCCTTTGTCCTTATAGTGGTTATAGTTGTCATTGTTGGGTTGTGGAGTTTTTATTACTCTCAATGTTAACCTCTTACTAGAAATAACATTTGCAAATACCCGCTCCTACTCCAGAGCTCGCCTTTAACCTCCGTTGATGGTGAGCATTGATATAAGGTTATAATCTGCTGGTCTAACTTGTCTATTTTTTCTTTGGTTGGCTATGCTTTGGGTGTTGTATCAAAAAAAAATCATTCCCAAATCTGATGACATAAAGATTTTAACTGAGCCTGGAAAGATGGCTCAGTAATTAAGATCACTTGCTGCTCTTGCAGAGGACCTGGGTTCGGTTCCTAGCTCCCACATGGCAGCTCACTACCATCCACAGCTTCAGTTCCAGAGCCTCTGACGCCCTCTTCTGGCCTCCATGGCACCACGCATTTACAAAGTTCCCAGAAACTCACACAGGCTTACTCACATACACATAAATAAAAAGAAATAAATGGAGTTTTAAAAACTGACCTTAACCCATCTTTTCCTCTGAGAGTATCTCTTAAATGTTTTGATTCGTATTTTGTTGCACTGGACCCATGGTCTCCCACACATGCTAGAGAAACATCTCATTGACAAGATGTATTTCCAGTCCCTAAAAAATTTAAACTATTAGCTCTTACATTTATCTCTCGGAATCATTTAGTTAAATTTGTGGTGTCAGGCCAGGATCCAACTTTATTTTTCCAGCTGCAAGAAAAATCAGTCAAGACTCATGACTGAATTCCTCTCTAATAATCACCTGGAGCAAAGAGAGCACTCCCCCACACACATGTGACACCCCCTCCCTGGGCCAGAGATTGTTCAGTGACCAGCCAGTATGGCTCCCTTATGTCAGCATAGACCAACTCAACTGTCTTCACAGTTTGACTTCCCCTCTGTAGTCTTGCCACCTTCACCCCACCGGAGATACTCCTAAAAATATTAACACATTTTCTACACTCAAACCTTAGAATCTGTTTCCCAAGAAGCCCACCTTGAAAGATCAATTTAAATAAGAAAATATTTTGTTTGTTTATATTTTGATTTTTAGCTTTGACTGTATTTGTTAGTTTGAAAACAGGGTTTCATTCAGTTCAGGTTCTACTTTCCCTAGGGCTGAGATTATAGGCATGGGCCATCCACTTGGCATGAAACATCTATTTTAAAGATAGATGTGCCAATTATCCACTAACCGACTCTCAGTTCTCAAGCCCTATTTTAATGTCTGATTGACAATAAGGGAGCTGAACCTTACAGGTCTTTCTCATTAAAAGCAGTGAGGGCAGGAACTCAAGCAGGGCAGGAACCTAGAGACAGGAGCTGATTCAGAGATCGTGGAGAGCTGTTGCTTACTGGTTTGCCCACCATGACTTGCTCAGCCTGTTTTCTCATAGAATCCAGGACCACCAGCCCAGAGATGTCACCACCCACAATGAGCTGGGCCCTCCTCGGTCAATCACTAATTAGAAAATGCCCTACATTTGGATCTTATGGAGTCATTTTCTCACTCAAGGTTCCCTTCTTTTGGATAACTCTAGCTTGTGTCAAGTTGAAAAAAAAAAAAAAAAAAAAAAANAAATTCCCTATAGCTGGATCTTATGGAGGCATATTTCAAATTGAGGTTCCATTCTTTTGGATAACTCTAGCTTGTGTCAAGTTGAAAAAAAAAAAAAAAAAAAAAAAGCCTAGCCAACATCCCCTCCCCCATCCCTTGCTAACAGACTGCTTCTCAGCTTTGGCAGCAGAGGACACTGGGAAGTGTGAGAGAGAAGGAAGAGGTTTTGTGTTTCGGTTCCAGTGTTCAGCTTGGCAGACCCCTCCACTGTATGTGATAGTGGCAAACCTCAGCCCTACAAGGACCCGTAGCCTTCAATACCCAACGCATCCCCAACACCCAGAAAGAACCCTTTTGAGCAGCTTCATGGTAGTGCCAAACAGAGACACAACTGAGTGGAGGAGGGCTTCCCTTGATTTCCTTGAGCAGCTCCGTCTGTGTGAAGTCCTCTAGCACTCCGGAGAGGTTTCCGGAAAGTTGCATGCATCTCTTTGCCATCCCATAGAGCACAGCTTTTTCTAGTAAGTGGGGAAAGCTGAAGCCGCCACTTCCCCACTTCCCACGCTTTCATCTTTGGTTGTAGCTAGTAGCAATTTTATTCATTTATGTATTTATTTGTCCAAAGACAAGTACCACTGCCTGGCTAGTTCGTAGCACTCTTAAAGAAACTTTTGCTGTTGGATTTCTGAGAGTTCTGACCTCCAGTTGTGTCCTAACTGGTACTGTAGGTTACATAACCAAGCAGTATGCTCAGCGTTGCATCAGCCGAGAAGGAAAGCGCAATGACGCCTGCACACAGGAAAAAAAGAAACAGACTACTCCGAATCTCCACCCGAGGGAGACTTAGAAAAATGTCTCTGGTTTATTTTCTTCGGTTGTTTTTCTTTATTTTCCAGATCGGGTTACGTTTCTATAAGCAGAAAAAAAAAATATGTCAGCGGGCAAGCTGCACATCACATTAGCCTGTAGGGTCCTTGATACAGGCCGTATGCGTAACTGGGAAAGTTTAATTGGCTTTCTGTCGGTATCAGGAGCACCAAGGGCAGACTTGTTAGAATGGTCAGAATCTCCAGACACCTCCCAGACATGCTGTTTGGCAGCAGAGCCTGCACATGAATAGGATTCCCTAGTGATAAAGATGTGTATCTGAGACACAAAGTTGGAGACGTTAATTAGTGACCTAGAAAAAAAGATAGGGGGGGCAGTAGCTAGTTGCTGGGGAAGTCGTCGTGTAGAAGTGTGTTGACATTCTTGGTCAACATGCTGGATAATCCTCTAAAGGATTCTCAACCTTCCTGGAGCTGTGACCCTTTAATATAGCTCCTCAGGTTGTGGTGAGCCTCAAACCATAAGTTATTTTCATTGTTGATTTATAACTGTATATCTGCTACCGTTATGAATTGTGATGTAAATATCTGATAAGCCACCCTGGTAGGGGTCGTGACCCACAGGTTGAGAACCACTACTCTAAAGACTCCCATAATTGCACTGGGTTCTCACAAAAAGAGAGTCTTGAGGTAATGGCTTTCATACCATTATAGTTTTAGGGTACATAATCTGAAGAGGAGGGTGGGATACAGAACCAAGACAGCAGAGAAGGGAGAGACAACATGGAGTGCATTACAACATCAGCTGCAACTAGCCGCAATTAGTAATGAGAGCATGCTTGCTCCAATAAAGCTCCTTCTCAGTAGCATCCACGGTTGGGAAGGAGGAAAGCAGCACTCATGCCCTGCTTCCTTTCACCCATGTTTCCATGTCTGTCCCTCCTCCTGGACTTCTGACCACACATGCATGGTCACGGACAGTCAGCAGGATGTCCTTGGTAGGAGCTAATAGTGCGGGGCTAGTGGGAGTCAGTTGCTGTCAGACTCTGCCCTGTGAAACTTTTCAGAGCACAGAAGCTGGCTACACCCGACTGAGATGGTCCAGATGGCTAAGTATAGAGGGTCTGGTGCAGAATCATGATGAAGGGACTATTTCAGTGAAAGACAGTTCTCTTAGGGTAGGAAAAGCATCACTGTGGCTCGCCCTGGAATGACGGTCGTTTTTTTTTTTCACTTGCTTTTAAGAATGTGTCAGAGATGCTCGCAGACTCAACATTTTCGAGCTAAATCAAATGAGAATCAAGATAGGAAGGATGGATAACAAAGTAGAGTGTCTAAAGAAGGAAATCCTTGATCTGGAGGAAGTGAATGAAGCTCTGGGGTAGGTATTTCTCCTGTCAGTGTTCGAGAGACTGGAATGCTCGTTGGCGAACTAGATGAACTAGATGCTTCCTTCCGAGGCACCTCCCAAGGTCGAAGCTTACAGTGTTTTCAGTTTCTGCTCTTACAGAATTAATTTTGCAACCCCGCCCTGCTCCAAGGCAATCCCTCTTGTTGGAAATACAAGTGTATATCAATCCAATTCTGCTTCATCCAGTTCAGTTCCTTAAAGGTCTTCAATCTTGCCTATAATCTACTGACAGGTGAAGTTAGTTCGAGGGTTTACACAGAGTTAATGAGACCATGTATGTAACTGCCTATAATGGGATCTCCCGGCACCCTTTCTTTATTCCTGAGCTGTTGCCTTGAGCCAACACTTCATCCCATGGGTCTCATTTTCTGTAAAACAGGATTCAGAACTCCTGACCCAACCTAGCCCATAAGAGGAAGATATATTCTAAAAGGAGAAAACAATAAAAAGGTTTGAAGAATAACTCATCACTGTGAGCAAATTTGCAAGGCTCAAACATAACTATCAGCATGCTGGCATTCCATATTAAGAAATGTTCAAGGGACCCCATTATAGCATAGAAGTTGGTGCACAGGGACGGGTATGATCTCAAAGCCCACGGGCTTGCTTTCCAAACTAGGTCCTCAGAACACTTGCCCTGGGAGATATGTTATAAATGAGGCTCATAATTACATATTGAGGAATACTAATTAGTCTAGCTCCTACTAAGGATTCACAAAGCATTTTAAGCATGGACTGTGCTAGCCACCATTTCCAGAGATAGCTATAAACCAGACTACTTCTAAACCAACAACCAGAAATAAAACATGCAGCCATATACACCAAGCGACGTCACCCCTTTCTGCTCCCATGGTTTTGGGATTTGAGTAAGGATCAGGATCCTGAGGGGGCTTGTTAACACAGAGACTTCTGGGATTTGGTAGGCCTAGCTGGTAGCAGGGTGGGGATAAAGATCAGTATTTCTAATAGCTTCCAGGTAACGCTCATCCTGCAGTTCCATCACGATGGGAAACACTCTGCTGGAGATAAATCTTGAGGGAAAGAGAAGGTCCAAATAGAGGTTGGTGGATTGATGAGACAGGACTATAAAGCTACAATCACCGCCTGCTCTTCTACTTTTCAAAGGAAGATGTATTGTTCAGGTCCTCTCACTATGGAGGCTTTGGGATGTGTTTTCCATAGGCCTGCATCCTGCCTGTGTGTGCCTGTTTCTCAAAGCACCACCGCCAGCAGCACCACAGATAGTTTTTTGGTTGATTTGGTTTCTTCCCTGAAGAGCTGCCATCCTTGGACTGATTCCCTCTCTAGCTTTCCCATGCTCAACCCACAGAACACCCACTGATTCACTTTGTCACCACATCTCCCACGCAGGCTGTTTTTATTTATCTTTTGTGATGTTTGGCCTCTGACCAATAAATTTCCTGAGGTTTCAAGTACCCTTCCCCCCACCAAAATTCTCTAACCTGGACACTAAATGTTAGGAAAGGACTTTATATTGCAAGAGCTTTTTTCTTTAAGAGTGAAACAGAGAAAGGACATTAATTATTCCTTCTTTCAACCTCTTCTTCGCTGTCTCTGTGCCAGATGTTTCCTCCCAGAATTCAGGTCTTCCTCAGGGAGAGGTGGTCCCCAGTGCATCTGTGAGACACATGACACATTTTGTGCTCAGATCTGGGAGACAAGAGGAGAATCAGGTCTCAACTGTCGTCTGAGCAGTAGAGTTGGTTGCAGCCTCACCTCCCCATAGGTTCTGTCCAGAGGAAGGCTAGATTTCTCTTGGGCCCACTCCACCAGGGCAAATAGACATACAACAGAATGCATGTTTCTTTGACTGAATGGCCTGACTCCAAGCACTCACAGCCAGATTCCATTCACTCATTCAAAATGACTTTTGAATCATCTTATTCTTAAGGCCAAAATATCCTCTAATATCCTGGCACATGGAGATGGGTAGGGTCAGGTGGAGCCGGGGGACTGACGTTTTAGCAGCGACTAAAAAAGTGGCAAACTTGTTCTGTTTCCTTATATGCCAATCAAGTTTAAATTTAAAGCACAAGAGCAGTTAGAAGGTAAGATTGGCATCGGATTATCCACATTCCTTCCTTCCCTGAACGCCAGCCTTGTCTACAGTGGGTCATTCTCTCCTTCCAGGGTAAAGCAAGCAGAGCTGGCAAAGCAGCATGCCAAGTTTGTCCTGATGCTCAACCAAACCCTGGAAGAGAAAGCCACAGCTACCATTTACATAAACAACACCTACACCAGGATAAACTTTGAGAGAGAAGAGACTTCACTGCAAAAGCAATGTCTGCGGGAGACAAATGAGTTAATGGAAAGGCATAAAGTGGAGTATTTTGAGAAGAAAAATGGGTTAGCTGCCCAGGTAACGGATAGGGCTTATTCTTTTTGAATTTAGAGTTGTCTTGAGTCTAAGGTAGGCGATGGGATTTTCTGTTTATCTGTCCTGCGGGCTAGCTGGTAAGGTACACTGTGATTGTCTTCTGGAAACTACTACCCAGCAGTGGGGTGAGAAGCTCGTGGTTGTATTTACTTGCTTTCTTGCTTCTTTGGGGGGCCTCCAGGAAGAGACATTCACAGTTGTGCACATTCAGTTCATAGAACAGAATACAGGCCAGAATTCTCTGTAGTGGTCCCATGCCTACGTAGAGATGAGGGACTTGCCACCATTTTATCTAGTTCCACTTCTGTATACACAGAACGCAGGAGTCGGGCAGAATACCTTCAATGCCTGCTATTCCAGCTGCAGCAGCCTGAGACAGGAGTAGCCTTCAGATGGGTTACCAGACCCCAGTGCGCAAAAGTCAAACTGTAGTATGAGGTCAGACACGGAGGTGGCCACCACCTGCCTCTTCTGCCCAGGTGCTGATGGGCTGTGCTGTGTTTAGCGAGGTCACTGCCCAGCTGCTTAGGGTTCTTTTACTTCTCACTGTGCCTTGGTTGCACTGGAAAAGGTAGAGCCGTCTCCATTCTTCCTTTCTATAAAGGAGCTGCACCTAAGGTGGGAGCTTCTGCAGTGCTTTGGCTGTGTCCTTCCCAAAGTGGGAATGGGCGGAAGCTTGGGGACTTCCTCCATTTTCACCCTGGGCTGCCTGTTTCCACCTTCACACAGGAAGTCACACTTGAGCTTAAACGATGCAACATGAAATCGGAAGGGAAGAAGGAAGGTTAATTTACTACATTACTTTTTGAGTTTTGTGGGTTTTTTCCTAAGTTTCAACAAAATGTATCTATCAACAAGTTTCACTCATGTGTATGCATACTCTGGTGCATAGATACTGCTTGGGGTCACATTCATTCAAAGTGATACTGCTTGGGGTCACATTCATTCAAAGTAGATAACACTGAAAAAAGGGCATAAGCTTCCATAAGTGTCACTCAGTACGCTTTCTTACGCCTCTCTGCTCAGTATTACCTCGTTCTTGATCATTCAGTTTGCTGACAATCAGGTTTGATTTTAATAAGCGTCACTCATTTCCCTAGAGTATGACATGTGACCAGATGTTTGATTTGGGAAAAAAAAAAAAAAAAAAAAAAACAAAAGAACTGTCCAAGATTATAGATTGCCCTCTCTCTAGGGACTTCACATCCTCCACCTTTAGTTGACTTTTTCTTTTTTAAGGTAGTGTGAACTGGGGTTTCTAGAGAAGTCATTGCTCCCTTCATTCCCCTTATCTGCTTAATGCACAGTAGTGTGGTACCCACGGCTGTGATGTTGCGGCAAGTCCCTACAGTGGCAAGATGCTTTTATCCTTCCTCACCAGTGGTCATTGCCATACAGCTCCTATAAGTGTACCAGGTCAACCATGTGTAACTAAAGTTTGACCAGTAAGATTCACGGGCTTGTCTTTACACTAGGGAATAAGCAAACCCTGGTTATTTTATTTCATTTTCTTTTAAATTGATAATTTACCTAAATGGAAAAATGGTGCTTTTAAATGAAGCATGAATTGGGTTGACAAACGGAAAGACCTTTCTCAGCTCTGGTGTGTTAATCAGCTCTGTAATTGGCTTGCTGTTGTCGCTGTAGATGAAAGAGTTTAAGCAAAGCTGTGAAGCCAGGAGAAAAGAGACGTACAGTAAGAAGAAAGAATTGACCAGGTTGCAAAACAGAATAATAAGAATGAAGCAAACGGTTACTACCAGCACAGTGGTAAGAAAAAACAAACACCTTCCTTTAGCTCAATCTAAGCATACCTGTTTTTTTTTTAAGTTTATTTAATTCATCTTCTGTTGGCCTGAGAGGATACCGATGGCAAGTTAACAGTTCCTGATGCTTTCTTTAAAACTGCATGTAGAACTAGCTAAATATGTATTAACCCCTGCTATTCTTTTGCCACCATTAGTTGAGTGACTGGGTCTGTAGCGTATTGGAGAGCACATGCAAAACCACACAGCGCAGCTGTCACAGGGAAACAGCACACTTTTCTGCCAGAAATGCGTCCATGGTTCCATCATATGTTACGTGAGGCGCACATGCCAACCTTAATGATGCTATGTCCATTATGGTATCTAATTTTTGCAGCCCTGGTAAAAAGAAAACCCTCCTCTCACATGTATATGTTTGAAGAGACCATTATCTGCCTTTAGATGCCCAACACGCAGAGGTCAGACTAGGCTGAAGAAAGTCACCCCGCTCAGCACTGTGTCCTCTCTGTGGCCAAGCTCAGACCTCCACTTTGAGCCTCCTAAAGTAGGAGGAAGCACTCCAAGTTTGGCAGCTGTAATAATCTCAACCCAGAACCTGCTGCACCCCCTGCCAGCCCCGAACCACGTCATTTCCACCTGAACTTAAAGCTGGAACCACTAATGTATAATACTGCCTGGTACAGTGGGTTTTTGTGGCGATTCCCAAAGCATAGACTGAGGCCACAGGAAAGTACAGACTAGCAGGCCCATGGAATCTTCGATTTAGACACTTCTCTGGCCAGGCCACACTGGAAACATTGGCAGAAAAAGAATGGAATGTGATTCTTCAGGCAGGTGTGGCTGAGGGCTAGAGACAATGAATATTAGGTCCATCAGTTTGGCTGGCATGTAAGATTCATGAAACCCAAACTGGAAAATGTGGACTTGGGCACTGAACAGTAGGCCAAACCCCGGTGAACTGATCAGGGTTCTCACTTTGATGGCTCTTCTAGAACGTCTGTTGACTCTGGAGCTATGCTCCTATAGTCAGTTGTGTGGTACTCTAGAGAGAGAAGCCTCTTTGAATATCTTTCAGCCTGTTGGGTAACTTTCTAGGAAGTTACTAAATTAGCATCTCTCCCCAAAGTGATAACACATCAGTCACCTAAAAAATGGCTCATTCTGTTTCATCTTGGATAGAGATGAATTTATTGGAGGGGATATGTACACACACACACACATACACACACATACACACACATACACACACATACACACACATGCATTTTCTCACTACTGTTTTTAGTTATCTACTTCAACAAATTTTGTGTTTTCTGGTTGTTTCAGAATTGCCTTTTTCTTTTGCCAAATTGAATTTTAAAAGGATCATAAAAATGATTTTTTTTTTTTTTTACTAAAGGGGGGCCCTATCATAAACCTTGCTTGGATGATGCACAAACTCCTCAGAGAACCTGAACTGCACTTGTGAGTCATGCGCTGATGACTGGCTGTCATATTTTTGTTGACTTTTCACTAGATGCTTAGTGACCACAATTTAGGGATGTCCCGGCTGCAGGAATCATTAAGCATATGGGAGAGAAAGGTAGAAGACATGAAGAGAGTTTGCACAAGTCTGGAGGAGAAGCTGTAAGTGAGACACTTTATTTTTCCCGGGGCCCTGCGGGATGCCGAGTTGTTTGCTTGTTTGTTTTTATCACCTTAACAAAACACCTGGTGTAAGCCATCTATGAAGAGAAAAGCGTCCTTTGGTCCACAGTTGTAGAGGTTACAGACGGTGCTCATGCGGCCTCTCTGTCCCATGCCATGTATAGACTGTAAAATGTGAGAATAATGCGGGACGCAGAGAGCACACTTAGAACATAGGAAGCAGAAAAGATGGAAAATAGAGACTATGGCCCGCAGTCCCAATCAAGGATCTGTGCAGTGACCTTTCACCTGTAATGGACCCTGTCCCTTAAAGACTCTACAGTCTCCTCATACCCGGGAGACAGAGTCTTTAAGTCAGGCATCTTTGGAAGACCAGTCAAGGTTCAAGGGTAACAACTAATAAGACACGTTCATGCTCAGAAACATCGCTAATATTAAATGGGAACTATATTTGGTTTATCCAAATCCATGCAATTGCTTTGTAGGCTCACCACCCCACTTAGTCAGATTTCAGATGATCTGTGGTGTGGGGAGGTGGGGATTGCAGGTGATGCAGACACTTGCCAAAGAAAGGAACTCTTTGGAATGCATTATCCTTACTTCAGTTCCTCAGTCTAAACTAACAAAACAGGAATACGGGAAGGGCATTGATGGGGCACAGCATGAGACTGTAACACGCCCAGCTACATGTTAACATGTGCCTTACACTTAGTCGAGGAGTCTTGCATCCTTTACTGAGAAAACACAGGGAAGCCTTGGGCAAAAAAAAAAAAAAATCATTCTTACATGAGGAACTGTATTCAGAACCTGAAGAAAGTCTTCCATTCATCTAAAAGATCACAGTCTGCTTCCTTTGAAGAAAATGTTGTGTAGTGCGAATAATAAAAACCCAGAGACAGAAACTGGAGTTCAATCTGAAGATCGGAAGAGCAAAGCAGCCAAGCCACTAGAGAGCTCTTCCTTCTAAAAGATTCTCAGACTGAAAGAGTAAGATTTCCTGTCTCATCCCACCTTACGCTCCTCTCTAGTGCTGGGATTAAAGGAGTGTGACCCTAGTTCTGGGATGAAAGGTGTGAGCCGCCACCACCTGGATTGCAACGATCCTGGGTAGTCCAGGGTGGCCTTGAACACAGAGAGATCCATCTGCTTCTGTCTCCCAAACCCTGGGATTAAAGGTGTGTGATACCACTGCCTGGCCTCTGGTGGCTTACTTTCACCTTTGGGTCTTCTGGCAAGCTCTATTTATAAAACAAAAATAAAATATCACTATAGTGTTTCATCCTTCTGTCTTTGCCTGTACCCAGTTCTCTCTCCTTGGTGAGGGCATGAAAATGTATGGCCATGCCAAAACTTCTGAAATGGCCTGTGACAAGTCTAGCATATCAGTCACAACTGACCGGCAGACTCTGTTCCCATCAGAATGTATGTGGTACAACATTGCTTCCTGGACCAGTCTGGGATCTTGCAATGTGGCTTCCAATGGCCACCCCAGTGTTTCACTGACATATAGGGAGATAAAATATGGTTCTAGCAGATTCCTGAAAGACAATTAACTTTAAGATAGAATCATTTATACATGTATTTTAATGCTTTGTCATTAAAATTGCATCGTCTAAAACAAGACGAGTAGAATACAGTTCTAATTTCCCATCATGGTTGCATTGATGAGAACAAATCTTTATATTAGATATAAAATGTTTAAAACAGGAAAGTTCAGTTAATACTATAATTAAAGCTTAGGGGGAAACCAGTGATACAATAGTTTCAATTCATTAGTTCTTCTAAGGAAAACAAACTGTCAAAAACGTAGAAGATATGGATTATTTCCTTTTTATTTTTGAGATTATAATGTAATTACATTTCCCTCTTTCCTTTTCTTCCTCTACACCCTTCCATAAATCTCTGCCACCTCTTCTTAAAATTCATGACCAAGCTGGGCAGTGGTGATACACGTCTTTAATCCCAGCACTTGGGAGGCAGAGGCAGGCAGATCCCTGTGAGTTTGAGGCCAGCCTGATTTATAGAGTAAGTTCCAGGACAGTCTCCAAAGCTATAGAGAAACCCTGTCTGGAAAAACAAATAAGACAAAAATTTATAGCCTTTTTTCACTAATTGTTATTGTGTGCATATATGTATGTGTCTATGTAAATATATGCATATACCTAATAAAATCTAGTCCATAGAATAAGATCTAGTCCATAGAATCCTACTTGTATGTGTGTTTTTAGGGATTACAGTTTTGACAAGAGACAACCAATTGGCACACTCATTGCTGGAGAGGACCTCTCCTCTCAGCTTTCCTCAGCTGCATTCTGGTTAGGAACTGTGTCGTTCTCAGTTCTTCACTGACCTCTGTTCATGCTCTCGATTGTGACTTTATCCTGTTTCTTAGTTTTAAATAATTTCTATACTCTGAAGACATCTAAATGCAGCCAGCCAGCCCTGATCTCTTCCCCGGGCTCTCACTGCAGTCTGCTAACTGCTCAGCTTCTCTACCTGGGCAGGTCTCGGCTGGGTTTGTCACATATAACCTGCCTGGCTCAGTTCCCTTCCCGTTCCTGTGAGAAATCACAGCAACTAGAAGAAACTTTGGGAAGTGTGGTGGTTTAAACAAGAATGGCCCCCATAGACTCATATATTTGAATACTTGGTCACTACACAGTGATGCTATTTGATTTGGAGGTGTGGCCTTGTTGGAGGAAGTGTGTCAGTCGGGGGTGGGTTTTGAGTTTTCTAAAAGCCCATTCTAAGCCCAGGGTCTCTCTCTTCCTGCTGCCTGCAGATCCCAATGTAAAAGTCTCAGCTACTCCTCCAGCACTGTGTCTGCCTACATACCATCATGCTCCCCACCATGATGATGGGACCACACCTCTGACACTGAACGCAAGCTCCCATGAAATGTTTTCCTTCATAAGAGTTGCCATGGTCATGGTTTCCCTTCACAGATGGAACACTGACTAAGCTAAGACAGGGAAGAAAGGCTTTATATCATTTTACACTTCCAGGTCACAGTCCGTCATTGAGGAAGTCACAGCAGGAGCCTGAAGTCTGGACTGCCTGCTGTTCCAAACACTATTACCTCCACCCAGAGAACACACTCACAACCAAAGAAGTACAACAGGGAACAGGGAAAAGTCTGCTCTCTGGATAGCTCTTTTTCATACAGCCCAGGATCACTTACTTAGTGATGGTGCTGCCATGGTGGGCTGGGTTCTCCCACATCAATTAATACGTAAAACAACCTCCCACAGACAAGCTCACAAGCCAATCTGCTCTAAGCAATTCCTTGGTTGAGGCTTCTTCTCAGGTGACTTCAGGCTGGGTCAAATTGCCAATTAAAGCTCATTTGGAGAATATCCTAAACAGAGCTCTTGATCTGCCCCCTCCCTCAAGTCTGAAACAACTCTTCCTGAAGTTGTCTGTATCATTGAATGTGACCCAACCAGGTGCTTTGTTTCTCATGCCAAAAGCCTAGAAGTCACCTGGAATTCGGGCCTTCCTCACTACTGCCTACAACACAACTTCAGTGCTAAACAAACCTCCTCTTCTTCCATACCTCCAAACTCTATCCTGTTGGCTGAGTGGATGTTCTGTAGCTGTGAAGAGACGCCATGACCACAGCCATTCTCATAAAGTAAAGCATTTAACTGAGGATTGCTTACAGTTCAGAGGTCTAGTCCATTGTCGTCATCGTGGAAAGCACAGCACCATGAGGTCAGACACAGTCCTGGAGAAGTAGCTTGAGAGTTCTAATCTGGATCCATAGGCAGCAGGAAGAGAAAGACATCGGGCCTGGCTTGAGCATTTGAAACCCCAAAGCCCACCCCCAGTGACACACTTCCCCTAATAAGGCCACACCTCTTAATCCATGTTGAGTAGTGCTACTCCCTAACAACCAAGCACTCAAATATATGTGTCTACGGGGGTTATTCCTATTCAAACTATGACACCTGAATACACCTATGTAGAGCCACTTGTGACTATCACCCCTGCCTGATTAGACTGTGGTTATCACTTCCAGCGTGGTTCTTCCTCCATTTTTGTCTTTTTCCACAAAGACATGAGTCCTCTTTACAAAGCACGGGTAATTCATGGTTGCTCCTCTGCATTCCTTCCTGGTTCCCTTCAGACTCAAACATGAAATTTTGCCTGACCTTTCGAACCCCACATGATCTAAACACCATGCCCCCCCCCTCAGGACAGGTCATCCTTCCATCTTAACAATACCAGTCTAGCTCTAATATCGGGGTTTTATCCTTCCTAAAGCCTTTTAGATCTGTATGCGGTTGGCTCCCTCTCGTGGGTCAGCCCTGTAGAGATCATCCTAAACCACTTGAGCATTCTTGTTCTCAGGGCCTTAATAGCCTTACCCTAGTTTGCATTCCTTGGAACATTTAACACTACCTGAAATACAGTTTAATTTTTGTATGTCATTTTATTCTGACCACTCACTAGATTTGATTTCCATAAGAGTAAGGATTTGAATTATTTTGAGTCCCTAGTACCGAGAACAAATCTTGCACATTGCAAGTGTTCAATAATTTCTTCTCAAATACATGAATAAGCAAATGGTACATTCATTCATTAATTCAGCAGAGTAAAAACATAGAGTAATAAATAAAAAAATAGGTTTTACATGGATGGGGCCAAAAAATTTAAGATGTCATAAGTAAGTGTGGCTTTGTGGGAAAACATGTTCTAACATTCATGGGTTTTCTTTTCTGTGTTCATAAGGTCATTTTTTCAGTCTCACAGGGAAGTCCTGGATGGTACATCTACTTTGAAGAAGACTGGGTACTTGAATAAGATACAGCAGGTAGGGCGGCAGAAATGACTTAGCTGACAATTACATTCTTACTTTTTAGTTAATGTATTAAGTGTCCAATAAATGGTGAACATTTCAAAAGTAGGATTTTCATAGAACACTATGAAAATTCATAGCAACTAATTCAGCTTAGCTCCTACCCAAGTTCTAACAACAAAGATTGTCCGTGTGAAATGAATCAGATCCAGTTTGCTTACTTTTCATTTGATAGTTTTATATCAGGAATAATTATGTTTAATGGACATGAATATTCCTTAGGGAAATACAACAATCATGCTGTTATATGGTATCTGTAAAGCTTGACAATCATTCTACGTTTAATAACATTAACGTTATTTAAAAGTATTTGAAAAAAAAGAAAAAAAAGTATTTGAGTTGGATTTATCACCAGGAGAACGCTCTAGACATTTTATTTTGCTTCTTTTTAATCTATTTTTCTTTTTCTATTACATTTTCCCCCAAGTTTTGCTTTTATTTTGATTTTTAAAAATTTACACCAAATTTACCCTTATGGAAAAAGTCAATCTAGACATTTTCTAAACTTAATTCAAAAGAAATTGAAAAAAATAAGTAACCATGAATAGAAATCAAAATTTAGCCATGAGATATTCGATGAAGCATTCAGTGGGGTAGTAAAAATTGAAGAGTGGGAAATTCGAATTAGATCTAACAGAAGGGAATTAGTTGAGTATTAATTAGCATTGCTCACAATATGTTATTGAATGGCAAGTGTTATACTGTAGAGCAGTATAGATCATAGGGTCTATTCATTTATGCATACGCACAAATGGCTGAGATGTTTCTAACTATTGGCACTGAAGCAGAAATGTCTCTGGTCCATATTCTCACGAGTCCTACAGTTCACCCTTAGCAGAAGTATCCTCTTCTTATAGCTTCTCTTTCTGTCTTGCTCCAAATCAGCAAAGGTATAAAATCTACCCTTTCGGCGAGTTCCAGAAGCAAATCTAACCACACTGATTACTCCATAAGCGCCTGCAAAAATGTTTAGAGAATGTGGGAGGGGTCTCCCCTTTCAATGTCTCCCAGGTCTTTCGCCACTTATATTAGGTCCTGGTTGCCACATTTTTTAATTCTTGCTTCTATATAGTCAATATTTTTATATTCCATATGTAAATGTGACCATGCAATATTTACTATGTCTATATTATTTTGCTTAACACATCGCCCCATTCATGTTTTTATCAACAACAGGATTTTCTCCTGCATAAAGGCCGAATAGTGTTTTAATGAATGCCAGCTGTCACTAGCTTTCCTTTGAGAGACACTTAGGGTTGACTGTGTACCTTGGCTATTGTGAATAGTGTTATGGCAAGCATTTCTTTGGCCTTTCGATACATTACTAATCTAGCCTGTTTGTTATAAAATGCCATATACAGAACATCAAATAACTGTGCATTATATATATAATTTCTGATGAATATAATTCATTAATTTTAATGATAACAGTATATCTTTTTATTTTTTGGTTAATTTTGTTTTGTAGCCTATATCACGAGAATATTCTCTGCCATTATTTTCTAGACCTTTCACATTTAAGTCTACAAACCATCTGGAATTTGTGTATGTGTCTATGCTGTGAGATCAAGGTCAAGTTTTCCCAATTGACCACAACAGTCCTTTCATCTACGATATGGCTTTTGAGCTATTGCTGGAAGTCAAGTGGGAGTCATATCATACATATATGCTCAGATTATAAACTTTTTGTTCTGCTCATTCGAACTATTTTGTAACAATAGTAATTTTTAGTACGCTTAAGGTAAGTCTTCACAGCCGAAAGAGGACAATTTTAGCTAGTTCTAGGCTTTTGGATTTCTAATATGGTCTGTTAGGAAGCCCATTTGAATTTTATGGGGCTTGTCTTAAGGCTTGAGAAGGATTTCATATCTTTACAGTATGGAAGCTTCTAGTCTATGAAGATTGCCTATATCTCCTTTGTATCAAATCTTCCTTGTTTGATTGTTTGGTTGGTTGGCTGGTTGTTGATTTTTAACTATTCAGTTTCACTGATGTAGCCAATCTTTTCTTTTGATTAATCCTCACTCAGATTTTTGTCTTTGGCTTTGTCCGTTCACTTGTTTGATGCCATTTCCTTTCAGCTGGCTTGTTCACTGAGTTTCTGTGTCTCCTAAGTTCTGCTGGCACACGTTCCACGCGACTGTACCGCTGTCGTATCTGACTCTAGCTGTGGATGCTATCGCTGATGCCCGTGCATCCACCTTCCGTTTGTCTTCCCTGCTTTTCCGTTTCCTGCACTCTTCTCCCACTGCAGCGTTCCAGAGAGAACACTCTCGCTCCTGCTTTTAATTGCGCTGTTAGATTTCTCAGTTACTAAATATTTGGTACCTTTTCAAATCTGCTGTCTCACTCTCCCATTTCCGGTGCCCAGCCCCAGCTGTCGAGCAGCCATACTTCTTTGAGCAAAATAAGCAGTAGTTGTGTAGTTTAGTGTTTGGTAACTCTAATAGCAGATGCTTTCGTGGATCTGTGGTCTATTATTTCTCCCTCTCTTCTTGGTGGGAAACTGTATGCTGGCTATTGTGCAATTAAAATGTTTAGAGCACAGTTCGATACCTAGGATGATGATGATGTCCTCGGGACAAGATCATCTTTGACTTCATGTCAGACATGGGGAGCGTTACAGTTCCAGTTACCTTAATCCACCTCAACTTTCCCTGGGAAAAAGCCTTCGGCATCTCAGCCTACAGTGACAGATGTCTGGATTTTCTCTCTGCATTGGCTTTTGTCCCCTGGGTATCCAAAAAAACTAAATCTCCATACGGCACTTTCCATATTGGTGAATGCCTAAGGGCAGAAATTTTCTATGACAGCCATCTCACGCCACGTTCTTGCCTTCTCCTAGAACAAGGTTGACTTCTACCTCACGATATTATTAGCTATTGAACACTCACAGGATGACTGATCTCATTGTATTATTCCATGGCTCCCAGCCAGAGAGTCATTTTGAACTACCCACCATTCTTACTAAACGAACTTTCTTCTCTCACTTCAAGCATCTCAATATAGACTTCCAGCTACAAGCTCTTCCCTCCTGAAGGGCATCAATGGACACGGGCGGCTTTGTCTGTCCTCACTTAGCACTACAGTCATTTTTCTGGATCTGTCAAGGAATTGGGCTCAAACACTTCTGTCAAATTCAAAATCTCTTCTATCAAATATCATCAGTATTCTTTTATTCTAATGCCTATCCTCCCATATTCTGCATCTCTACAATTTACAATACCTTACATATATATTTGTGTATATATACATATATATGTGTATGTATGTATATTACTTCACTTCATCCATGTGAATTCCATTTGTACATAGAAAATGCAAAGTTTGCCTTTTAGAATCTTCTGGGATTTCTTATTTCTCAAACATCTCCCATCGGTATTGGGTTGAAGGAAGAACTTCATGGTGCTCACACTTTGCTGAGGGGTTGGAGGATACAGAAGATCCAGTTCTATTTACCATGGAGCAAGCATGGACAGCGAATCGTTGAGTGGGGGCTTCTATGGGTCAACACTTCCTTTGCCCTATTACACCTCATATTCTTGGAAAGGGACACAAAATTGTTTCATGATCCAAGATTGTCTGTAATATTCCCTCTCAGCATAGATTATCATTCTATGGCTTCATGTCAATGTTTACAGCTTTTATTTTCTTGTCAAAGTTCCCAGAAAAAGCTCCAAAGCATACAGTCACAGATTTGCTGTAGAATTAAGCTGCTTGCCCTCTGTGCGAGATCTGCTGTGTTATGCGCAGCATTTGCTGTACTGTTGGCACTGTTCACCCAAAGACTACTATCTATCAAGTCAGTTCCTTTCATCCTATCTCTTTCTCGCTCCCTTTTTTCCAGGTGGGGGAAAAACTGCACAAAGCTGAAATGGAGAACATGGAACTCCGAGAGACTCTGCACTCACGCCTCAGACAGTATAAGATGGTCACGGAGGAGGAAGATAAAGCGTACCTCCAGAAACAGAAGGTCTATGATGAGTACGTCTCTCCCCTGCTTGCCACCGCTATGGCTGTCTGCCTTGCTGTCCACGTGATGGCCCATCTAAGCTCATCTTCGTTGTCAACACTGTTGACAACAAGATACTCTTTATTTGATAATCAGTTGGCATACTTCTAATCTGCCTCTACAGTGCTGAGAAATGCTTTTCTAGATCAGATTAAATCCATCAAAATTAAGTGCGTTAGTAACACTTGTAAATCAGACCCAGGAAACAATAATTACTGTGTGAGACTTGGCAGAGAGTGCCTTCCCTTTCTCAGGTAGGAGTTTGATTACCTCCCGTGACTTCAGAAAAGACTCATTTCCTGTTTACTACCTATTGAACTCCATTTGGTCCCCAAAGTTTGGTAATTTTACCTCCCAAATATTTCATTTCTGCATTCCATTCCTTCCTCTCTGCTCCACCGCTTGCTTTGACCTGCCTCTCCGAATGTCTTCTCTTCTTTTCCACCCCCAACTTGTCTACTTCCAACCCTTTGACTCAACACTGTCCTATAACAACAGGATGCAAACCTCTGGTCTTGTTGGTCTACAGAGACACCAGAAAAGGCATTCCATCTAATTCTTCCTGGGTGCCTAGGACTTCATCTACTGCTGTGCAGCTGCTAGTGTTCACTGATGCCTTCTGTAGGAATACCACACAGTGGTGTCTTGAAAAGTGAAATTTTGTAAGAAAAGAAAGCCCACTGGTACAACCAGAGTTGCAGTCCATGAAATATAGCTGCTGTGCACACCCAGGGCCATTTATGTGAGGTTGAACTTATGCTCGTTCTGGTACCTTAAACTATATATTTTCTGCAACCAAAGGGCCTCATCTGATTGCACAGAATACCAGCGGTTACGACTCCGCGAGTGCAAACTGTCCCCAGATAACTATTAGAGTCATCATCTAGAATTCTAAATTGTGCTGATGGCAAATGACCACAGCACTAAAAATCTGCTGTCATTGTGGCCTTTTGTCTTCAGTTCAATCTCCATAACACAATGCCATCAACTGGTTGGCCTAAGCTGGGACTTGACGACACTGCCAACACAAACATGCTTAGGTTCTAGTGAGGAAGTGAGGACCCTCTTTGTGACTTACAAATACCTCTCTCTCTCTCTCTCTCTCTCTCTCTCTCTCTCTCTCTCTCTCTTTCCCTCCCTCCCTCCCTCCCTCTCCCCTCCTCTTTTTCTCTCTTTACATAGAGAGTGGCACTGATCTCATCATGAGGACCCCACCCCAACACCTCATCCACACTAAATCCTTTCCGAAAAGTCCCATGACTATGTGCCCAAACATCATCAAATCCTTAAACATAGAAACATGGAACTTAGAGAGCATAGGTTACTTTGCTTTTGGCATCACATGAGGTTTTGAAGGTGAGTCACTTAGATGGGATGCTTTCTCTTCTAGAGAAGTTCTTATCAACATCATTTAAATAAAACTGTGAATTTCTCTTAGCTTCATTTTCTCTGCTATATATCAGCACAAAAAAAATATCAACCATAAGAAGTCTCATTGGCCTGTCAGCAGTGAACTAATTCATTCTACCAATGAGACAGGTATTGTAGCCCTAATTTTGAGATACTGAAATGGAGACTTATCCACAGGGAAGGTTTCTTGCCCAAGGTCCTATTGTAGTTGAGATGTTCAGCCTGACCTCAGAGTTGGTCTAACAAAGAGGTGCAACTACCCCTGCCGTCTTGTGTTAATATGGCAGTTAGTGTTCTTTTGGTGACTTGAGAATTGTCAAGTTTATGAAAGTTCTATGTGTAAATTTATATTAATCCACTGCTTGAACAGAGACTTGTTTGTTTCCATTGGTTTATTTGGTAAATTATTCATAATCTAAGCTTCCCAAGCTCCTTTTAATTTTTTTTAAAGATTTACTTATTTTATGTGCACGGATGTTTTTATTGCATGTACACTTACTTGTGCACTGCATGTGTGCCTGGTGCACAGGGAGGTCAGAAGAGGGAACTGGAGTTATAGATGGATGTGAGCTGTCATCTGGATGCTGAGAATCAAAACCAGCTGGTCCCCTGCAAGAGGAAGAGCTCTTAACCACTGAGCCATCTCTCCAGCCCTTACTTCCTTTAAAAAGGATTTATATATGCAAATTTTTGTATTGGTAAATAAAGAGAATTTTTTTTTTTTTTTGCCTATGGTGTCTAAACCTCTGCATTCAAACCTCCAGCTTCTCTGGGTAATCACCCCAACATTGAGTAAAATGGCCCTCTCTTTTTTTTCCATGCTAGAAATCAGAAACTGATCGCGCTCATTAATCAGAAAGAAAACGTCCTAGCACAGAGAAAAGTCGACATCAAAAACATGGAAGAAGGATTTGAAACCCTGCAGAACCTTTACGAGTATGTTTGTGCCTTTGCCATCTTTACTCTTCCTGTCTTTATTTCTTTAAGCTGGAATCGTAAGTCTGTATGGACGTGTAGTGTATGACAGGGAAGTAAGTTTCTAATTAGCTCTCTCTGTTTCACATTCAAAAAGGTCATGGTCAACGAATATTTTACTACAGGGGTAGACAGGTGCTCCAGAAGCAGAGTGACAAAGGGGTGGACCAGATTTAGGGCCGGGACAAGTATGCGCCTGTCCATTATCTCAACACTCCTCATCGTTATCCGTCGTTTCTGCCATTCTGAGGCACTTGCATTTCTCCCAATAAAGTAATACTCAGTTTCAAATTTAATTTTTAAAGGTAAAAATGTGTCATTCATGGAAACATATTACCCTAATCTCTCTACAGAAATAATTATTAATAGTTTGCTGCACATACTTTGTATGCATATTAATATAAAGACATGTGTATCTATTGTGCATATTTCAAATTGGATTTTATTACTCTATAACATGATCTTCCGCTGAAAATTTTACCTATGTAAAGACGGGAGCACGGCTCAACACAGATATCTCCATACTCAAGCTCTCGGTTCAATCTCTGGCCCCATCAGCGCCAACAAAGCAGAAATCAAAGACTGAGTGAGACCCAAGGCTTTGAGATAGCTACAAGAAAAAGAAAAACATTTTAAGATAAAGGCATAAATAACAACTTTCTGAATAGACCTCCAATAGCCCAGGCATAACAACAAAAACTGTCAGACAGTTATAAAGTTATAAAGTACCAAATTATAATTTTCTTTATGTGCTTGAATGCAAAAATTTTCAACAAAATACTTGCAAACCAAATTCACCAAAACATATAAAAGAAATGATACTTCTTGACGGAGTTGTTTCATCCTAAGAACGCATAGACAGACTCAGGAACAGAAATCACATAATCATCCTAATAGACACAAAAAATCTTTTGACCAAGTTCAAAGTCCTTTCATTAAAAAAAAAAAAATCCCTAAAGAAGCCAGAAAAAGGTCATGCCAACCCTAAACCCCAACAGTACACTAACTGGGGAAAAAATGAAAGTATTTTCTCTAGAGCTAGGTAAGAATCAAAGTATTCACGCTTTGCACACTTAATTCCTATAGTGCTCAACCACAGCAGTGAGATCGAAGGAACAAGAATGAGCACAAACCCGGCACAAAAGAGCACGTTATTTGAATACAAGGCAGTGACAAGGCCAGCTTACACAACCAGGACATGTGGTGGTGGAAACCGCACATAGCAGAGGAGCTCTGGGGTGTGACATTGTATTAGATAAGGGATAAAACACCATGACCAAAGCAACCTGGGGAGGAAAGGGTTTGCTTGTCTTGCCCTTCCACATCCTGTTCCTCATCTAAGGAAGTCAGGGTAAGAACTCAAGCAAGGCAGGAGCCTAGAGGCAGGAGCTGATGCAGAGGCATAGAGGAGTAATGCTTATAGGCTTATTCTCTATGGTTTGCTCAGCCTGCTTTCTTAAAGAACCCAGGGCCACCAGCCCAGAGGTGTCCCCACTCACAAGGCGCTGGGCCCTCCCACATAGACCACCAGTTAAGAAAATGCCCCACAGGTTTGCCTACAGCCTCATCTTATGGAGGCATTTTCTCAACTTTGGTTTCCTCCTTTCAGATGACTTTAGCTTGTGTCAAGTTGACATAAAACTAGCCAGCCAGCACAAACATGAAGTTAGGGTTCTTTGCATGATTGTCTCTGCATAGGTAAGCAACCACTTAAACATCTGTTTTTCATTGTGCTAGCTTCAGAAGGAAAACTATGACCTTCTCCTATGAAGGAGCAGGAAAGCAGAATTGGGCTCATTCAGATTTTACTTTTTGAATAAATAATGCAAATTTATTATTCGTTATAGATTTTTTTTTGAGACCGGATCTCACTATATAGCCATGGCTATCCCAAACTTACTATGTAGACCAAGCTGTCCTTGGACTCACAGAAATCCATCTGCCTCTGCCTCTCGAGTGATAGGATTAAAGGAAGGTGCCACCTCACACCCAGCCCTTTTGATCAGTTATTGTTTGGTTCTTGCTGTGGTCACCAAGAAGCTCAGAATCAAATGTGTAGCTCAATGTTGTTATTGACTTTGGTAATTCTGTGTTATTTTTACCTTATTTTAAATTGGCTCAGGTCATTTTTGGAACATGTTATGCCCATATATAAATCAACAAACTCAAAAAGGAGAGGTAAGATTGTGAAGAACCTTAGAGATCTAAAATAGGCTACTGTCTTTAATAAATAAAAATAAAATAAAATAAAAAATAAAATAGGCTACTAGATCATTTCAAACAGAATATGAGACAGAGGTGTGGTTGTTCCTGGTTGACTTAATTCCATTTTGAATTCTTTAATTTGTATTTCTGACCTTCAAAAATGCATGCAACAATATTTCAAGTGTATGTTTCATTTATGAGTTTTTCTGTCTTTGAAAAGACACAAAGTCACATTTTACCTAGGTGGTATTTGACTTTGTTTCTGTGTATGAAGCTGTGCTGGGAGGGAAGGAAACAAAGCCTTCTGCTCCCGGGGTTGGAATCTTTGCATTTCCTTCCAGCCTACCAGGAGAAAAGGCACACGCTTAAGAGCTGCTCTTAGTTCAAGAATGTGTCTTGCCTTTCTGTGTTCTGTATTGTACAAACTCAGAGCTGTGTAGAATGCAGGGTTACTCAACAGTCTGTTGATCTTGACCCCTCCCATAGCCCAGTGTTGAGTTCCCTTCACAGTCCCTGGTCAGCAAGCCCCCTAGCCTGTGCTGTGGCAGGGTTCTGACTTTCTGTGCTTTCTTCCGTATCTTTACGAATGTTCACACCCTTTCCTTGGTAAGATCACACCTCCATTCTGGCCATCCACATTCCTCCCTATTAACCAATAGCCTCCAGAGACCTGCCTTAAATGCTCTCCTAGACTCGCTTCTCCATTCTTGGATATTCAAGCCAAGGCTTGCAGGAGCACTTCAAGTGCCCTTCTGTAAGAAGGCCAATAAAATTGCAGTTGTTTTACAATTAGCCATACTTATTATAATAAATATGTTAAGACTTTCATATGTGTTTGACAAACTACAAATACAAAATCCAATGTATATTTATTGTTTTTAGAGCAACAAAGGAAGTGTATCGGAAACAAGTAAAAATCTTGTGCGATAATCTAGAAAAAGAACTCCAGAGGAGGTAATGTGATTTAGGGTGTGTGTATGTGTGTATGTGTGTATGTGTGTGTGTGTTATAATCAGTAGTATGTGTTATCTACAGACCAAGAGAATTACTGTCCTAAATTAAATTATATATAAATTCACTCAAGTCCAGATGTGTTTGTTAGATTGTGTTTTGTTTTGCATTGAAAATAACCAGAATTTTCCATCTCAGTCAAGGGAAATCACCAAAGACTGTGACTGCCAATATTGACGTAATGTCTGCTGTCCAGCCAGACTTCTGGGTCAAATTGCAGAAAGGGTGACATGGGGGACAATAATTAAGATCACAGACTTTCACATGGGCTACTCTGTCTTTTAGTTCTAAGCTTGGTTCAGTTAACCTCTTCTCATCCCTACTCCTTGAGTTGGTAATGATGGTGGCCCCCTCCTTACGAATTTGTTGTGAATGTCAAAGAGACGATCCCTCAAAAGTATGTAGATCAAATGTACCTAATAAGCACCCACTATCACTTAGGGATATTTTATTAGTATTGTTGTTGTTGATATTTTAATTTATAAAGCTCAAGTTGTACATTTTTACCAGTCTCAAAAAATATAGGTTTTGTTTTTGTTTTTTATTTTGTTTGTTTGTTTTGAGAACCTAAAATTTGAATGTTTCTTATTGGTGTTTTGGGTGCTTTGGGTAATCCCATTACTATTTCTGCCCACGCCTTCCCTGGAGCCTCCATTCTCAACCTGAAAGAGGAGAGCAGCCCAGTGACGGGTGGTGCTGAGGTAGACAGCATCCTGCCTTCTCACCCATCAATGTGGTAAAATGATAGTCGGACTTGTTTTGCTTTGGGTTTTGTGTAAGCTGCTGTGCCCATATGACGGCAATTCTGCTTTGTTCTGATGTCTAGTGTCATTGCTCAGTGGAAAATAGTCTGCACGCGAAAAAGGCACGCACGCTGGCTGCTTAAGATAAAGGTGGCCATGCGAAAGATCATCGCTAAAATTGAGGAATCAGAAGAGAGGCGAACTGAATTGCTTAAAGAGGTAAGGAAATCCAAAGTGTTTAGAATTATTGTTGTTCCCCACCTTAGAAATCATTAACATCCTCTCAATAGTCAAATAAACCTTATTTTACTGAAAAGTATTTTCTTTTCTCCTGAGTGTATGGTTAGTGGAAGTATTGTTTTCCTATCTTTAGAAGTCTGACTACTTGGTGTATGTTACCTAGGAATGTTTAGATCTTTTTTGTTTTATGATATCTATCTATTATGTATGAGCATATGCTCAAGTGGAGGTCAGAGGAAAACTCCAAGGAACTGGCTCTCCCCTTCTACCACATGGGTCCCAGAAATGAAACTCAGGTCATCAACCGTGGTGAGGTGCAGCAGCTTGGGGCAAGCTGGCCCAAGGGAGATATAACAAATGAAGGAGCAGTGCTCTCTAAGGTGTACCTTTGAGGCGTGGGAGCAGATCCTCACCTCCCACGCGCCCTGTAATACTCCTGTGTTTACCCTTTGTACAGCCACCACTCCCCAACCCTCCCACGCTCTGTGTCCTGTAGATACCGTTTGGTGGAAGACTAAACTTCTAAAGGAAAAGAGTTTACCAGGCAGTTTAGCAATGTAAAGCTAACCGTGACGCGAGGAATGACAAATCTCATTTCCCTCTGATTAGACAAAACAAAGAGAAGAGGAGATCCGTAACTTTGTGAAAGAAATCGAGAAACTTAAACTGAAATTAGTAGAAGAAGAAAAGGAATTTGTCAAAAAAGAAAAAAAGTTAATGAAAGAATTAAGCAAATATGAGGTAATTTTTATTTTGCATCTAAGCATAACTTTGGAGGATTCCGTGAGGGAAACGGGAGTGATATTACGTGTGATCTTGAGCATGTGGAGGTAAAATAAATCTTCCAGTATGAACAAAGGCAGGGTCAAAAGTCTTCTCTGCATCTTTCTTCTTTTTCTGAAAAATAAACAGAAATAGGACAGTTACTTTTTCACTCAAACAAAATAAAGCAAATTTTGCCAAGCAGCAAGCAAGGAACATTGTTGGGAAGGGTAGAGTTGTGACGGAAGCCAGCGGGAGATGGGGAGAGTGCTGAGGAGTACATCTCAGAACTCCTTACAAATTCCCAAAAGCCAACCAGGGGTAAATCAAGGAATGGATATTGGAGAAAGTGGAGAGGACAGACTTCAAACGCATCGAGGCTTCTAGATGCCGTAGATTGCAGACAGCCCCACCACCACCACGCACACACAAATACACATTTTCCGAATGATAATATTAAGTAAGGGCAGGTATCTTGAAAGCCGCCACTGGAAGAACAGCTAAAGAGACTGAAGTTCGGGGTAGAAGCAAAATCAATGGATTTTGATAATTTGGGTCAGAAGTCTTGGCGTATAATGATTGCCAAGCACGTGTAAGTTTCATCCGAGCTTTAATGTGCATACTTCTAATTGTTGGCGAGGCTCTATACACCCTGCTGATGTCTGTCTTGCTTTGAATTCACTGTGTGCTGGACATTGTGTTACTTAGTTTTCTGTTGCTGTGATAAAATGCCGTGACCATGGTAACTTAGAGAAGAAAGATTTTTTTAGCTGACAGTTCCAGAGGGCAAAGAGTCCATTCTTGGTGGGAGACAATGGCTGCAAGTGACATACATGGTGGCCAGAGCAGGGAGCTGAGAGCCGATATCTCAACCACAAGCTGGAGGCAGAGAGAGCAAGGTATTAAGAACTCCAAGCCTGCCCCAGTGATACACTTCCTAAGCCTCACACACCTGGGAGCAAGGACTCAAATGCCCAAGACTATGGGGGACATTTTTTTTCATTCAAACCAGCACAGGTGTGTTAATTAGCTTTCCATTTGCATGTGGTGAATACACAGGAGACCAAGTTGAAGAAATACGTTTTGGTTGCGTAGAAGGTAGGAAAGGAACACAGCAGCAGAGACTCTGAACTGACAGCATCTTTGTAGATTGAATGATAAACCTCCAGGGCGGCTGTTTAGGGCAGCACCTAGCTATCAACCACAGAGTGTGTGTGCCAGCTACCTCTCTCTGTCCTCCCCTCCCCTTTTACTCCAAGCTGTGCAACTGGTCCAACTCACTTTCCTCAACTGACTTGACTTTCTTTAAAGGATCTAATTATTAGAGAAGTGCAGATTAGCAAAGAAAAGGAGGAAGAGCTAGAGGACACCATCCCCTACCTTCAGGTAGCAGAGGAGGAATACAAAGAAAAGAACAGGAACCTCAAGTCCCTCCACAGTGATATTTCAGGTGTGTATGAAGCTTTGCTGACAACCCCTCTCCCCTCTGCTCCGCCAGCATCACAGAGGTGAGAATCCACCACACACCCAAGGAGAAGCGCATCTAGCTTGCCCATCCCATTAAATCCACTTTCTAGTTTGCTTCATCAACCACTTCCTCTTTCCACACCAAGTTCTTCCTCCCAGCCAGTCCCCCCTCCCCCTTCCCTTCTCCCCTTCTTTCCTCCTCTCTCTCCTTCCTCCAAGTAGAATGCCCCCCCACCAACCTATCCTTAAGACTTATCATACCTGAAACTTTCAGAGATATGACCCATGTCTGTAAGTATGTATCTTTTGCCTTCCATCACACAGCATAACATATTAACACAATGTGTGCATGTAGCCGTGTGTGTTCAAATAAAAACAATTGTTTCCACCACAAAAATTAGGTTTGGTCACCTAACCCTGCACCTAAGGCCCAGAGTGTTTGACTCTTGCCTTCCTCCGGAAGTGGGGGGCATTGTCCAGGTACTCTGCACAGGTCTTTAAGCAGCTGCCTTTTCCAGATGTCGTGCATTCTAAATGATGAAAGAGCCATGGGAATCAGAAGGCCAGATCCCAAACTAAAAGAAGGACTGGGATGGGAACGCTAAAATAATAATCTTCTGGGGGAGCAGTGGGAGTGAGCAGCTAGCAGATGACTGTAAAGATGGGGGTCAGCACAGCCCGTGTCAGTAAGATAAACTGAAGGAAATAAATACTTCAAAATGAATAGCAATTACTTCCAAGAATTTAAAATGACAAGACTACATAGATATAACAGTAAGAGCCTGGCCAGTCCCTCTGTCTTCCATCGGAGTTGATTTTCTATTTCTTGTCAGATTTTCATCTGATCAATTCACGTAGGCTTTCACTTGATGCTTTAACTGGGTTTAGAGAAACTTCATTCTCCCCCGTCCGTCCAGTTCTCCTCTTAGTACAAAGCAGAGAGTGAAGAAAACACTGTGAAGAGAAGGATAGGCAACCCTTCACACGCTCTGAATCTCTTACAAAGGAAAGACGGGAAGGAGAAGACAGCAGCAAGGAAGAAGGAATGGAAGGTTGAAGCGCACGGTGCCTGCCTAGACAAGATGGACCCGCACAGGCGCAGTTCCCACACGGGGCGAGGGGGATAGTGAAACACAGTGCCTAACACGTGCATCCGTCTCAGCGCCCTCCCGAAGCCTGACACCAGCGTGTGGAAAAGCATGCCTGCAAAGTTGCAGTTTCACAAGAAAGGAGGCACGAGCGAGGAGATAGCCCACATCTGTTGACCTTCTGCTTACCTGCTGTCGGATAATAAGCGTCACCAGATTTGGGGAAAGAGTGACCGGGTAGAGGTGACAGTAGAAAGGGAATATGAGCAGAAGAGCCCATGGAAGAGGACATCATAAAGCCCCAAAGCTCTCTCTCTAGAAGGCAGATTGTAGGTATTGCAGTATCTCAGGGCTGTGGAGATACAGCCATAGAAAGGGTAGCTAACGCAGCAGTTGGGTCCCCAGGTGAAGTCCTTCCTCTGAGTTGTAGCTGAGGAACTACTTTCCCTTAATGCGGGCAAAGAAATGGGACAAGGGGTTCCCAACTTGGAGCACCTACTATGGCTGAGGGCAGATGGCAGGTTGTGTTGTGGCGGTATCCCATCCCCCTGCCTGGTTAGAGGAGTGTAGCCAGCCAGGTGAGCCCATTTTAGGGTAAAAAGCTGATTTCCATAAAAAGTCATCGGGAAGATACCAAGTCATGGAAAAGTGGTGAAGGAGTTTTATCTTTATCAAGTAGGGCTAGACATAACACACCACAGCGACTGAAATTCCTCCCCTGAACTTGCCTTCTGAGATTTGCCCAGGCTGGAGAACTGACGCCATGTTTAAGAGCGTGGATTACTCTCCAAAAGGTCCCAGGTTTGATTCTCAGCACCCACGTCGCATGACTTTACATCAGGTGACAGACAATGGCCTGTAATTCCAGCTCCAGAGGGAACCAATGCCTTCTGGTTGCAGTGAATACAAACACATACACAGACGTACACAAAATTTAAAAAAAAAATAGGTCTAAATTTAAAAAAGAAAAAAGATTGATTTCCCCATACTACATTGCTCCACCGACGGGGAGACCAGATGATTATTCCACTGAGGAAACCGAACTATTCAAACCCCAACACAGATACTGAGAGTGGATGGACGCCTTCCTGTAAAGTAGCTGGGCAGTGATTAAACATGCCTTGCGACTGTGGTGCAGATTTTGGTGCCCATTCATGCCACTGACATGAAGCATCGTGACATTTGGCTCACTACTGACTAGTCCCTTCCTTACACTGTTGCGATGACCTAAAGAGCGAAACTTTGTTGACACAAAAAAACCATAACTTTATGGGGAGGTTGAAGGGAAGAAACCTAGGTGTGGGTAGGGATAGAGAATATGTAGACAAGAATTAAGACACCAAATTTCCCGACGTTGTGCTAAGAAGTAGATAGAATGTCTGAAAAGAATCACAGCCTTCTTAGCATATAATTTAAGAAAATTGAGCTAAGCAGAAGGCACAACTAAAGGGATTATTTTTTATTGATTTTTATTGAGCTCTACACTTTTCTCTGCTCCCCTCCCTGCCTCTCCCCTCCCCCTGGGATTATTTATAAAATGTGGTTGAGGGACTAGAGAGATGGCTCAGCGGTTAAGGACACTTGGTACGCAGTCATGAGGATTGGAGTTCAGGTCACAGTGCCTATGAAATAAGCCAAGAGTCCCTCGAACCCCAGAAACTCAGCCCCGATGCCTCCACACACCTTTGAGCACATACATGTGTGCACCTCTGTTTCTCTCACACATATGTAAATAAACCAAACCAAAAGAAACTGACAGATCACGGGTGGATCCCAAAGAACCAGACCCAGGGGTAAATGCACTGCAGAGCTGCTGTCTCTTCTGCTTAGAGTTTACCACAGTGTGATTGTTAAGCCTGTGCATTCTTACACTGAGATATTTTTTTTTAAACCAAATTACTTCGCGGACATTTATTTTCTCTCTCTCCCTCTCTTTAAACAGCGAAGAAGCAAGAGGAGTATTTATTGAGCAACTACATTTTCCGCCTTAGGAAAGATATCATCCGATACATGGACAACACGGTAAATAATGGCTGTGGTTCGTCTGTCTTGGCTTTCTGTGTTGTGCTGTTTGCAGAGTCAGGGACTGAATTCCAGGCCTTTGGATGCTAGACAAGTTCTGTACCGCCGGAACTACATCCTCGGGCCCTGGTTTTCTGAGAAGGGTTTTCCTGTGTAGGCAGTCTTCAACTTAAACTAGTGAATCTCCTGCCCTAGGCTCCAGAGTGCCGGGATAAAAAGGATGCTACCACCCAAAGGCCCCGCCTTCTCCTCCTTCTTTAATTTGAAACACTGGTGAGTATTTAGTATCATTTGCACTCACCAGTAACTTAGTTTGTCTGAAACTGACTTATTTAAGTTATTCTACCAACGTCAGTGTTTAAAATTGTATTCAATATATACATATGGAGGGAAGTTTTGCACTGCTGTGATATATACCTGAGAAAACCAACTTAAGGGAGGGAAGGTTTATTTGATCTCAGAGGTCCCTGAGAGTCTGGCTCCTCTTGTTTCTGAGCTTTCAGCACAAAGGTCTTGGCTGAGAAAAGCTTTTCACCTCATGGCCACCAGGGGGCAGAGAAGAGTATTAGGAAGAAGGGAATGGGAACAAGCTACAAAAGCGCAGGCCCAGAAATCCATTTCCTCCACCCAGGCCTGCAAATACTCTGTACAAGATTTGAACCCCTCAGTGCACTAATTTTGTCATGATCTAATCATCTCTGAAACGCCCTCAAAGAAATGGCCAGAAATGAGCTTCACACATCTTCTGTATTACAGTTCTCAATTCCATCAGATTAACACATGATTAACAAGGTGGGGGCACCTGGAACCAGCTCAAATATAATGAGAGAAAAAAATATGGACCCGTGAGGAGACTTCAGTGTTCTCAGTTATAGGATGGGGATCAGACTGCACTCTTTGAGGCCGAATACGCAGAGATCGTGGGACATAGAACAGGAGCAAAGAAATGTTTACTCTCTTTCAAAATACATAGTCCATAGTTTCATTATAATTTTTTATGTGGAGTTGGTCAATTGAACATGAAATTATCCTATTCTTTGAATATCTGGATATCATGCATGATTTTTGATATGCTGTGGGTAAGAAGAAATATGGACAAGAACATTACAAGCAAGTGTAATGTACACGCACACACATGCACACACACACACACACATGCATACACACACTCACACACACACTTTTTTCTAAGAAGATGCTCCTGGTGAGTAACATGACGGATAAAGACCATGAGGTTTATGATGCTATAATAATTAAGAACCGCATAGAGACATTCGCAGTTCAGGGTTATCCTGGGCTGCACAGCGAGTCCTGAAGCCAGCCTGGGATACTTGACACCTTGTCTCAAAAGCAAACGAACAGCAGAAAAATAAACAGGTAAATAAGTATTCATAGAATAAATATCACCTCCTTCTAGAACATTCTGTCTTCCTTTAAAATGTCAGTGCATCCTTCTCCCGGCTCCCCACTTTGGCCGGGTTTCAAACATGTCCTATTCTGTGACCTTTTGTTAGCATCTAGGGTACTTCAGGTTCACGCATGACCTTACCAGAATCCAGAAACAAGTTTTTAGGAAGCAGCTTTTGCTAAAAGATTGCCACAGTCAACTGGACGGCTCAGGGATGAGTGCAGAACCAGGTGACCGAGGTAGACTAATGCTGGTGCCCTGCCCTTTGACCCCTGGGAGATAATGATGTCTTTTATGTTTGGGCAGGACAGTTTGAAGACAGAATTAAAACATTTACGAGATATCGAAAGTAAAAAAACCAAAGAGCATTTTGAAATTCTAAAGAACTTAGAAAACGAAGTCTATGTAAATGACCAGAAGGCAACCCTTCTCATCCTGGAAAACAAAAAATTAAGAGAAGTAAGTTCAACAGCACTTCACTCTCCCTAGATTGATTGCCTGGACCAGCGGTACTCACATGAGAAAAGACAAGAATAACACACGTAACAAACTTTAGAAGGGTGCAGTCTTCCACCCCCTCCCAGTCATTCCCACCTCTCCCCACAAGAATACCACCAACTTCTAACAGCAGAGATTGGTTTTGCCTGGATTCAACCATTACATGTGAAGAACTGTTGAGTGAGGTTTCTGTCCTGCCCTGTACTGCAGTCATTCAATCCCAAAGAATCACACAGAGGTCTACATTAGTTATAAACTGAATGGCCTAGTATCTCAGGCTTCTTGTTAACTCTTATAACTTATATTAGCCCATAATTCTTGTCTGTGTTAGCCACATGGCTTGGTACCTTTTTTGGCGAGGCAGTCACATCTTGCTTGCTCTGTGTCTGGCTTCCTCTCTGTCTGGGTGACAACTACAGACTGAAACTTCCCTCTTCCCAGCATTCTCATGGCCCCGCCTCCTCTTCCTGCCTGGTCGCTGTTGCCCTGCCTATACTTCCTGCCTGGCTATTGGCCAATCAGCATTTTATTAAAAATAATACAAGTGACAGGATAAAAGACCATTGTCCCACAGCAAAGGACAGTGCTGCATACACAGTTTTGCTCAGTCTCCTACCTCTGAGGTTCATCCTCACTGAGTATAACTCATTCCTCTTCATTCTGCATAGTATTCCTCCATATGACTAGTATTTATTTCAACAGTACTATTATTGGGGGTTTGGAGAATTTCTTTGGGCTGTTACCAGCCCTGTTCCTAAGCCCATTCAAGTAATATTATTTTGATAGACAGGCATAGTTCTGTTGGGTATAGATCCTAACTAAAACTGCAAAGTCATCAGGAGATGAATCTTCTGCAGTCCTGCAGAGTGCCAGGCTCCCAAAGGGCAAGGCACTGAATGCCCCTCCCACCAGCAATGAGTGAGATCCCTGACACTCACACTGTGTCCACGTCACACTAAGAAACGAACACAGACTTCCTCTTAGATTAGTTTGACCAAGCGCAAGCCCAATTTTGGAATCTCCGCTTTTCTCCTCACGTCTTCCAACTGTCTGAAGGCTGTTTCTAGCAAGTCTATTGTGTACACCTGGTAAATCCCCAGTGCCTGTCTATTGTGTTTCTGTCTGCTCTGTGACTGTGTCTGGCCTTTACAAAAAGCTCTATATTTATTAAACAGCACAGAAAGCACAGTATGGGAAAGAGATGAAGGAATTCTTTACAGAAATCTTATCAAAATTTTATAAGAGGAACAGTCGCTTAACTGACCCAGAATAGCATTCAAAACCTCAAGGAGATGTTATCAACCTATATCCATGTGTTCCAACATATATGGGATATTTGTTTAGTTTAAGGCTCCCTTTAACCTATTAGCTGCTTTCAGAAAACAGTTATCACCACACACACACACACACACACACACACACACACACACACATTATTCTAGGTCAAGGGCATGGAAGAGTTCAAAACTTAAGCTCAAAGCTATGAATTTACCTTGAGTTGTAAAAGCTGATTGCGTGTGAAGTTGGTTGCATTGTTCTCTTTTACATGCAGGCTAAACTCAGACAGGCTGAGCACACAATAGGCCAGCTGGTTGAGAACATAATTATAAACAGTCTCAAGGCATATTATTGACACGGTGCCTAGGCCAAAGAAAGGGTTAGTCTCTTTGGCATCAAGAACTATTCTCAGAAAAATGTCCTCATACTCACCCAACTGTCTTTGTGCAGCTGAGCTATTCTGGTGGGTGTGTGCCTGGTGTTCCTCAGATCTGAGTCCCTTTGACAACTAAAGAAACACCCGTATGTGTGTTGTTGGGCACACAGATATCTTCACTTGTAAAATTCGTCTTCTAGTTTTCCCTGCCTAGCTAAAAAATTAAGTTGTCTGTACCATATCAACTGATAATTCAAGAGCAAATAAGTCTGTTCATTTAACCCCTAAAGTTATAATCTTAATTTATTACCACTAATTTTCGGGCTTATATCTCAAAAGAGTGAGGCTTGCCTGTTTATACTTAAGATTTACTCATTTTAATTTTAGAATGGTATGTTTAATAATTAAATCTATTAAATTCAGATTTTAGTGCTCAGAACTATTGATTCCAACAGCCTTTTTATAGTACATGAATATTACATAATTTCTATATTTCATAATGTTACAGACAGTTATAAAAAATTTTATATACTATTCCTTTGTTTGAAAGATGTGAGTTAGAGTCTGTCACTCACTGGGGACACTGTCCTTAGTGTCTGCAGTTGAACGTTTAGAAGGACATCCTACATCAAGTGTCTCACAGGGTGAATGTTGCTTCTTTGTAAACATTGCCCCCACTCAACTGTAATAACCTCCAAGTCAGGGTCTGCATCAATGTCCCAAGAGTTTGAGACTTGATCCTATTTAGTGCACATAACAACTTCAGAAGTCGGGTAGTACATTATGTACCGTACTTTTTTGTTGTTTGTTTGGTTTTGGTTTTTTTTGAGACAGGGTTTCTCTGTAGCTTTGGTTCCTGTCCTGGAACTAGCTCTTGTAGACCAGGCTGATACTGAACTCACAGAGATCCACCTGCCTCTGCCTCCCGAGTGCTAAGATTAAAGGCGTGCGCCACCACCGTCAGGCTCATTATGTACCTTTTAGAAGAGAAAACACTCTGATTTTTGTTTCTTTCTTTCTTTGTTACAAGAATTGTTAACCTATAGAGAAGAATAAAAACACATTCTTTCAGTAGAGCCTGGTAAGGGAAGTAACCTGGCCACTGACTAGCCAGATGACGTTATGGAGATCTCACACACGGCTCTGTGTGATTTATGTCTGTCTGGTAAACGGCGAGAGTTATCCCCACAATCACATGCTTCATCTGGTAAAGCGAAAACAGCTGAAGGGCTAATGCTTCTCAGAAAGATTTTGTACTCTGAAAAACTTTGGTTCTCAGTAGCCCGCAGATACTCAACCCAGGATCGGGCAGCAAGTCTTTGACCCAAACTTGAGAGGACTTTTATCCTGAAGCATCCTGCTATTTTCTCCTCCTATAGAGAAAATATCTAACGTTTACTAAAAGGACGAGAATTTCTATTGCTCTATTTTGCACAAGGAACATTTTTCTTGTGGATATGAAGAATTGGGGCAGAAGGTCTTTTAACGTCTTCCTTTGTCCAGCCTTATTGGAGCACCATGTTTATTTCTTTGGTTGCTGAACCAGTAAGAAAGCAGGACCTTGAGCCGGTCGATGGTGGCGCACGCTTTTAATCCCAGCACTCGGGAGGCAGAGGCAGGCGGATCTCTGTGAGTTCGAGACCAGCCTGGTCTACAGAGCTAGTTCCAGAACAGGCTCCAAAGCTACAGAGAAACCCTGTCTTGAAAAACCAAAAAAAAAAAAAAAGAAAAGAAAGCAGGACCTTTTGTCTTCTCCTGTGAATGGAGGGAGACACGGTGGAACGGTCGGTGGCATTGTGAAGCATCAACACATGTTTGGTGAATGACTGCATGAATGTTGTACTCTGTGCGGTGGGCAGGCGCTGATAGCTGTTGTGTGCCTTTCGTTCTTAGCATCTTGCCTACCTGAAGAAACAAACCAAGATATACATAGAAAGGCAGCAAACAACCGTGCAGGAGTCAGGGAACCTGTCTTGGGAACTGATAGCTCAGCACAGTAAGTCGCGCCCCACTCAGCTTTGCTCTTACTTAAATCGGTTTTTTATTCATTTGCATCCATTTAAAAATTCGAGGATTTTGAGGAATAGATGAGCCCTGGCTGCCCTTGCCTCCACAGCAAAGTGTAAACCGAGTTCGTGACACAGTTTAAATATGAAATGTCCTTTCCCCGGCTCCTGTTATAAGTTTGTAGAGCCATGCAGAAGGTTGTGGGGCCTCTAGGGGGTGAGGCCTGGCTGATGGAAGCACATCTTCAGGAACAGGCCTTTAAAGGTTATAACCGTCCCTGAGTCTGGCCTGCATCCTTTGTTCCCCGGGCTACCAAGAAACATGGAATCTCCACCACACAGCCCCATCAGCACCGCCTGCTGCTCCACTGTGCCACAGTGAATGGAGTCCTCTGAAACCATAGGCCTAAACAGCCTCCTTCCTTAAGTCCTTTCTGCCCGCTGTTTATTTCAGTTACAAAAGTGGCTGCTGTCACCTGTCCCTTCCAGCTGATCTTCCACCAGGCTCTGGACGCCACCAACCTGCCTTCTAACACTAACAATTAACAAATTGTTAAAGAGATGACGTAGTATGCACCCCTCTGCTCTTGGCCTCTTTGCCTCTGCAAAGTGTATTTTAAAAATTCCTTCATAAAGCCAGATGTGCACATGTATGGTGGGAGAACTCACATCTGTAATCCAACACTTAGGCTGAAACAGGAATTGATGCGAGTTAAAGACCAGCCGAGGCTACACAGTAAGTTTCATGGCAGCCTGGACTGGAGTTTTAAACTATTGTGGTCTCAAAACAACCACAATGAACAAGCCACACGCTGTCAGGAACCACAGCGGCCCCCGCTGGTGCACTGCAGCAGTAACGGCTATGCATCATTTCTGGTGAAGAGACATGGATGCCATGGCAACTCTTATACAAGAAAACATTTAATTGGGGTGGCTCCTTACAGCTCCGAGGTTTAGACCATTATCATCATGGCAGGAAGCATGGCGGTGTTCAGGCGGGCAGGGTGCTGGAGAAGGAGCTGAGAGTCCTTACATCTTGACCCACAGGCAGCTGGAAGTGGTCTGAGCCACTGGTGTGGCTTTCACCCCCCATCATTCTGGAAGTAGAAACATATAGATAAAAATATTTTAATTATTAAAATGTTGATTGTTTTTGCAACCATCGTGTTTTATATCTTTCAGAACACTATTCAGATTTCTTGGCACAATTTCAGATCAATATTCAGGTGAGCGTTCATCTTGAATTGTTCTGGGTATCGCGTTTCCAAAGGAGTTCACCTGCCATTAAATGTGTGTGTGTGTGTTCATCTTTGTGTATGTGTGCATGTGTGCATGTTCACATGTGCATGTACTGGTATGTACTCATGCACATGTGGACAGAATTGTGAGACTATGGGAGGTTGACAGGGTAGGGTCAGCATCACATCCATTGTGTTAAATGTCACTATGAAATCTTAATCCTTTCAAAAGTCATCTTCTTACACTACCAGTCAGCCACCACGATCAGTCTCTCCTCCCCTGCCTCCCTCCCTCCTTCCCTCCCTCCTCCTTTCCTTTCCTTCTGTTCTCATTCGGTCTTTGCCTTTGCAAGTTTACATACGATACATCTGTGTTGTGAGCCTGTGCTGACAGCTCTGACTCACTCTGTATTTACCAGGTGTTCAGCGCCTCTCTTCCCCTCCTCCTCTATGCAGGGGACGAGTCAGGCAGGCTGCTTTGAATATAGCCTCTGCATGGTTCTAAAAGTCACTTCGTGTGACTAATACCAATCTTTCATACATAACATCATTTTGGAAAGAAACCACTCAGAATGTTGTCTTGTTGTAATTATATTCACACCCGTCCCCAAATGCCATTCCTTTAAGGAACTGGTGAACACTGGAGCAGACACCTTTCAAGAAATTAAGACTTTAATAGAGAAGCTACAATACAGGGATAAGAGGATCGAGGCCATTAGTGCCTGGCTGCTGGGCAGCATCGAACGGCTGCGTCTTCTTATGCTGGAGGAATCACCGTCTGAACTTCGTCCTAATCAGTACTCCGACAAATTAGGTAACGTAGAACTTCCTGCTACCTTGTAGTAGCTAGTGACATCAAAATAAGGGGCTCCTCAGAGACTGGTCACCAAAAGGCGGGGAAGGACTGTGCTCACTGGTGTTGAGCATCCCACCAAACACAGGTACTCACCTTGGGTTGAGGTTGTTAGAATCCTCTCTCAGTTCTTTCTTTTGCTTAGGATAGTTTTCAAGCGAACTCATCTCAAATCTTCTTCTTCATTATAAAAATCGAAACCTTAGATAATCCATTATTGAGACAGGATTTTACTGTGGAGTCTAGTGTGACTGTGAAGGGTCTTCCTGCCCGAACTTCCTGAGGGCTGGAATTATAGGCATGAGTCCCCACACCCAACTCAGAAACATTGTTTAAAAGGCTTTTAATTCTTGCATTCTGGGGCTGGAGTGATGGCTCAGTGGTTTAACGCACTCCTTGCTCTTGCAGAGGACCAGGGTTCAATTCCCTGCCCGACCGGATGACTCACAACCATCCTAGCTCCAGGGGATTTGCTGCCCGCCCTCTTCTAAGCTCCGTGGCTACCAGGCCTTTACACAGTAGAAGTACATACAAGCAAAACATTCAAGCATACAAAATTAACTGAATTTTATAATAATACTAAACAAACTCCCTACATTCTTGAACAGAAAAAAATTGAATCTAATTTCATCTCGCCTTCCTCAGATGAATTTGGTGCTAAAATAGCAATTCTCTGAAAAAAAAATATATCGAGGGATGTCTTCTGAGTATTTCTGAGATGCAGACGTGTAGCATGACCTCTGACCTTGCTTCATGGGCTTACAGCCCAGCTGTCTACTTCACCCTCAATCCCTGTGACTGTGTCACGTTAGATTGGCACCCAAACTCTGCTCAAAATAGGGATGTCGTGAGAAATAGAGGGAACTCTTGCATGGATTCAGCCCAGAACTCCCAGTGAAGAAGTCATGAAGAAGTCACTTGAGCAGAAGGGACCGTGGGGAACAGCTATGAGGGGACGGGATGATGAGGACAGATGCAGGGATGGAATGAGAGGAACACCGCCTAGCATGGGTGCAGTTTCTGAGATCATTGGGTTGAATATCAATGAGTAACCATCAGATTGTGTGTAAAGATCAGTGTAGAGGATGAAGTGGGATAAAAGTAAAGCAGGGGAAAGAGCCAGGGCTAAAAAGCATTCCAATAGTGGGCACAACCTGTTTTCTGGAGGCTTGGCTGGGTAAGTAAAGTCTGAATAGCTGGGACATCGTGGGTCAGCCCTCTCCACCGCTGAAAGCAGACCCGGGGGCTTGGCGGAATGCACTGTGCACATGTCTGTGGTCCCCGGCCACCTGACTACTCTGTGCATTTCCCTGACGAGGCACAACCACATCCATCACCGGAGACAAAGCAGAGTTCAAGAGCTCACTTGTTCCTAAGTGTCATAGAGTTCAGAGCAGGGACTCACTTGTCTCCTGACTCCATCGGGGCACTTATTCAGATATAGCCGAAAGCTAAGTGCTAAAATGTGGCTATAACGCGGGTTCTAGACCGTGGTTTCTAGTCCTTGGATCATAGGTAGTAAAGCAGCTGGTGGTCTCCAAACATCAGTTCCCATTTAGGAAGCAAATATTAAATATTCTGCTGATATTTGGTGTTGCCATCCTTTAACATTTGTGCTTTTGACTATCAACATATAGAGAAATATAAATTGCTAATATGTGATTTAGCTTAGGATTCAAGGTAGAGGTAAAATAAGCTGGGGACCACTGGTCTCCATATCCTGGGGTCAAAAGGTCTAAGCAGGGTATAGTGGTGCAGGCCTTTAATCCCATCACTCAGGAGGCAGAGGCAGGAAGTCTGGTCTACAGAGTGAATTCTAGGACAGCCAAAGCCACATAGTGAGACCCTGTCTCAAAAAAAAAAAAAAAAAAAAAACAACTACAGCCAAAAGTCTTTCTGCCTGTCATTAGAATCCTTGGGGAAAGCTTACAGACTGGCGAGAAGTGGAGTGTATTATAGCCATGTTCATTCGTATATTACATAGCCTGTGGTTCCATGCTATAAACGACAGAGTACCTCCGCCACGGGCCATGTGACTCTCCAAGACTAGAACATCTACTACCTGACTCTATAGAGAAAACATTTAGGACTAGCCAGGCTCCTGTCTAGTCCCATGAAAGGCTCTTCTGACAAAGCCTGAGCTCACACAGGTTGAGGGAAACGAAGACTGATTTTGTTTCTAGACCACACAACAGTAGACATCTACAATGAAATAAAATGAACATTGTATTTTCACCTCAAATGAAAAGGATACATGGAAGAATCCAGTCATTACAGAGAGTTTCCCAAAGTCAGTAGACTATCGAGAGACAAACCTGTAATTTAGAGCTGGGCGCTTGAGGCTGCAGAAACATCTTCGTCACTAAAAGCACAGGCTGCTCTCGCAGCTGATCCACATCTTGGTTCCCAGCACCCACATGGCAGCTCCCTGCCGTCTATAATTCCAGTTCCAGGGGAATCCAATGTCTTCCTTGGGCAGAAGGAAATGTGTGGTGCACACACTCGCATGCAGGCAAACACTCATGCACATAAAGTAAAAACAAGTAAACCCTTAAAACAAAACAGGAACAAAAAAGTGAGCTGTGCTATTTAGAGCCAATGAAATGATGCAGTCAAGTATTTCCTAACTGCCTAGCCTGTGTCAAGCTCTAAGATACCTCAGTTACTGCGGTGAATACAACAGTCCCTGCTCAAATGGAATTCACATTCCAGTACAGTGCTCGGCAGCTCCTTCTCTGCCAAGGGCCAGATAGTATTATTGGCACTGCCAGCCCTGAAGTTTCTGTTGCGGTTTTGCCTGCTTTTGTAGAATTACCTATTAGGCTGCAAGTTGCCCACTGCTGATACAGTAGGAAGAGAATCTGGAATCCTTGAAACGTATATTAATTCCTGCATATGCCAAAAGTGGGCCATAGGAAGTGTTGATTTGTCTAAGAGGCAGCTGGGTTAGGGAACCGGGAGCCGGAGGTTCGAAGCTGAGTTGAGATCTGGATGCAGATCGCCATCTTGCATAGCGCTGCCTATCTATCTCAGCTTCCAGGGCCCGGAGTAAAATGTGAGTTTTGAAGCCAGATGGGGTCCTGCTGCTTCACCCCCTTCCTCGCATTCCCCAGTCGTGAAATATTAAAGACAACAAACAGAGGTTATAAAATATCAAGCACAGGTTGAGCGTTCGTCGAGTCTCTAGAATCTCCCACCGTCTCGGGGAAGTGAATACCGTTTGGCCTTTGAATTACTCCACCATCACACAGCCACCCACAGTCTCCACCTTCTGAATTGCCTGCGGTTCTCCAGAATCCCTGAACCCCTTCCAGGAAAGCAGCCCTCTGCTGCCCACTCCTGGACATAATATGTCATTACAACCCTTCAGGTACTGCCCTGCTCCACACCCATTACACTAGCTTCTTTATTCTACCGAGTACCCCCGGGATAAGAGAAGAGACTGTTAAAATTAACGGAGCTCTCCTAGTGAAGAAATCACGGAGGTTAAGTTCTCTTATCGGGTGCTGAAAGCACACAGGAACGTCAGGGACAGGCGCAGATAGATGTGAGCTGGCAAAGGACCCCAAGTGGCGGGACTGTGGGCGGCGGGGTGGACACTAACTGGAAAGAGGAGCGAGTTGTATCTCAGAATGCTAGATGCCAGAATTCACCTGAGCCCTGTGATCAGCTAGCTTCTTACCTTTTCTGTTTTATAAGCAAAAACGTAATGCGATATATCCGAACCAAACACTAACAGTACAGGTCACTTTTAAATTATTAAAAAAACGTTTTGGGCCAAAGAGATGGTTCAGTGGGTGACAGTTTTTTGCCACCAAGCCTAACACCCTGAGTTTGATTCCTGAGACGGGTGTACTCCTCCATGTTGTCCCCTCAACTCCACATGTTTTGTGATCCATGTGCTCTACCTACTGCCCCCAACACACACACACACACACACACACACACACACACACACACACACACACCACGGAGTGATTACAATTTTTTAAAGAATTTCTTTTCGTTATTTTCAAGTCAGAATGAAAACAAATCAAATTTAAAAGTACTCACAGTCCTTCATTTTTCTTCTTAATCAGCACTCAAACGGGCGACTGCATGGCTTTTCCATGTACAGGAACTAGTTTTGGCTAAACCTCCCTACCCATCTGCTCCTCTTTCCCACCTGCACGACCCGCCCCCACTTGGACCCTTCTCCCCTGCTCGCCCCTCCCCACCGTACCATGTAATCATTTCCGCCTTCCTATGACGTGAGTTCTATTACCCTCCCAGCTCCCTCTCTTGCAGCCCCCCTGCCCTGCCCCGCATGGACCCCTTTCTAATGTCCTGCCAGCCTGAGTGTAAAACTCAGCCCCACATTAAATTCACACTCATAAAAGTTAAAAGCTTGGGATCTGTGTACAAGAGCTAATTCGACTTTCTGAGCCTATAACCTGATTTAATATTTCCACTGTCACTCATTTTCCTACAAGTTTCATAATTCTTTTTCCTTTATGGTAGAATAAAATTGAGCTGTACACGCGTACCACATTTTATTATCATCTGTAGATAAGCATCTAGGCAGATTCCATTTTCCTTGCTATTGCGATGCGTTAGCAATGCACGCAGAGGAGCGCATATTTCTGTGGAAGGACGTGGAACAGTACAGCCGAGTCATATGGTAGCTCTAGTTCTATTTTCTCGAGAAACCTCCACACTGGTTTTCATCGTGGCTGAGCCAGTTTCACTCCAGCCAACAGTAGATGGGAACTCCCCTTTCTCCACAGTCTTGCCAGCAAAAAGCATTTGTCTTCTTGGTGAATCTCAAACCTCCTTGTGGAATGTTTGAGAACCACTGGTCTGAATGAAGGTCTTCCTAATCTGAACTTTGTTTTTCCAAGAGAACTTCTTGGCTTGGTTTGGTTTGGTTGACCTTTCTGAGATAGTCTTGTTATGTAACCTGGGGTGATTTGGAACCCTTTCAAATCATTCAGCAAATGACTTTGTTTTTCTCTCTTAGATGTCAATTCTGCTGCAACTATAAAATTAAAAGCAATTTATTTTTCAGAATTAAATGCTCAAAATGTGCACAATAATATTGAGTAATTTTTTTCATCACAAAAATGAAAAGAAAACTGACAATTGTAAGAGTTGTTTTTTTTAAGTCTTTAAAACATTAGGTAATCTAAAAAAGTCTTCTGCAAGGAATATATGATTTGATCA